CTAAGAAGTTTTACATTAAAAAAATTAGCTATTATCAAAGGGTTTGAAAGCTACTTTTATTCCATTAATGATCACTGGCTGGACAAAATAGTAAAACACTCAAGCATACAGATTTTCATAGTATGGAATTAAATGGTTAGAAACATAATATATTCTGACACTATATCCTTAATAAGAGTATAAATGAAATGAGGAGTTTAATTAAAGGATATATAAGCATGCACACATGTACGTACATAAAAACAAAACTTACAAAAAAAAAAAACATCTGCACTTATTTCTTTGTTGTTTCATTATTTTTGCTAGATAAGTACGAATAACGTTTCATCAGTGTTAATCTTAATTAATTATGATAATAGTAATAATAGAATGTCACATGAATCAACCTTTTGATTGCGTGTCAGCAACGCAGAAATCCTGCAGAGGGCTAGGATCATAAGCAAAAGCTTGAACCAGAGCCAAAGCAAGAATGGTGATCCCTAGAATAACTTGGGAAGCCATCTCAAATATCCTAAATGAGTACGCTTAATTGGATATTGATGAATTTGATTTGTGTTAAGATGCTTTGGAGAAAGGAGCAATTTATAGACGATTATAGAGCGAGGGAAGGATTATATTATAAGGTTTAGGTGGCCATCATGAGCTTGAAATATTGTCACGTATAAATTACTGACTAATTAGTGTACATCATAAAGTTTTAGGTTGTCCTTGTCTAGTTTTAGTTTTTTCTATGAAGTTTCGTATAACGTGTTATATATTAGCTTAATTCACTCTTCATGTGCGACGCATCAGATCCATAAGAACCCCCTTACGTATAGGAATTATCACAAAATCCCTCTTTAGCTTTCAGATTTTATCAGAAAATTCCATTTAATTAAACCTTTGCAGATTTTATCGCAAAAACCTCGCTAATTAAGGGGGTTTTCTTGATATTTTGAAATTAAGGCTCGGTTTGCTGCTAGTGTTCAAAGTCAAGGAGGGTTTTATGATATCTAGCCTTTATTAGATGATGTAGAAACGTTAGGGGGAGTTCAGGCGATTTTACTGGGGTTTGTCATAGTATGCATATGACAACCCAAGACAATTGAATGAATTGTACTGGAGATAGCGCTAAAAATCTTGAAATTCTGATTAGAGTTGCCGGGTTCGAGTGGTTTTGCATACCTCAATTTTTTTTTCATTTCTTTCATTAATTAGGGCAATTCATGTTAAAAAACTTAAAAGAGGCGGGAGCGGGAGACCTTTTCCCCTTTCTTTACTGACACGCAATCACGATTCTCATCCCCTCACCCTTCAATTTAGGCCATTCCCTTATCCTTTTTATTTTTCTTCTTCTAAAATTTAGAAATCCTAAATTTTCATAAACTTAATCTAAATATTCACAAATTAAATCAGAGCAGTCCAAAGCTGCAGCCAATTTCAGGGTATGTTAAACCTTTCCTCTGATTAGTCTATTGAAAGAAATTTAATTCTCAATTTCTCATGAATGTGACTAGCTAATTAAAATAATGAATTATGCCGAAAAACGAGCTGATGAAACAAAATGTCAAACCCGTGCTTATATGGATTGTTTTAGTAACATTTGTGCCCGAGAAAGGAAGTGTTTTTCCACAATTGATGATGTTGATATCATCCCAAGCGCTTTCAGCTATGAACAACGAAGAATGCCCAATGTACATCGCCGCACTAGCATTTAGATATTTAAATTTGAGTTGCTAATTAAAATATTACTATTCTTGATTATATAATATTTTTAATTGTTTCTTTTGATTTTTTTCCGTTACTTTTGCTATTGGGATAAATGACAGACCCTTATTGAAATCCTGGCATCGCCCCTGGGTAGTTATAAAAAGGTACGACTTAAAATTTTTCTAAAGGCGAAGCTTACGATGTTAGATTGCGCTTATGACTTTTCTCAAGAGGAGCTCGTGGTCTTTTCTTTTCTAATTCCTTTTAATTCAGAGTTAGTTGAGAGTAATTAGAGGCTGCGCTGGCTTTATTTTTCAAAGGTAGCAGGTAACCTAGCTAATCCACTAACTACCTTATTTAATTATGTCCTAATATTGGTGATATTGCGAGAAAGTTAACATTCATTCCCTGTATTAATTTTCTCATTACGTTCAATTGTTTCTTGTCATTTCAATTTAATCCGTGTAAAAAATCCCTTTCTACTCTTTTTCATGAATACACAAATTATTGGATATCTTTTAACATGACATGGCTAACGGTCATATCACTTTAACCTATATTAATTTGTGTGTACATATATACACACACATGATGCTTGCATTTCTTTGTATATTAAAGATTGTGAAGAGTGTGTTCTCATTATAATTATAATGTACGTACGTAGTATTCCTAGAGAATGTTATACATTGTAAACTTGTTATAGGATCAAAGATTAACTGGACCAAAACTCTTGATTTAAGAGGGCCGGGTTTTTTTATTTATTCTTTATATAAAAAGATTAATTGTTAGCTTGTGTGTTGCGTACTCTTCTTCTTTTTCTTCTTTTTTTCTTTCAATTGTTTACGTGAAAAATGAAAGAACATGTCTATTTCTTCCCAATAGGAGTCAATGCTTTCAGCTAAAAGCAACATTACAAATCTACAAGCCTTTGCTTGAATCAAAGACTTAGCTAAAATTAGACGAAAAGGAAGAAAACTTGTTTTTTTTAAAAAAGAAAGCGACGGTAAAGTCCGAATCATTCAAGTCAATGAAATAAAGAAGAGGAAAATAGAAAACGAAAAAAAAAGAGACAGGAGGCCAAACAATCAATATATAAAATGTAAAATTATTGAACTTAATTGGTTAACCCAAATGGGAACTAATTCATGAGCTTGGGGGCAGTCGCACTACTTTAAATTGAATTGGTCTTAATTAATTAGCCTACGTAATACATAAAATAATGTTTTCGGAAAGGAAGAAGGACTGACTTTTCGGAAAGGAAGAAGGACCGACCGGTTCGTTACTAAGCAAGCAGGAAATAGTTAATGTATAAATCAAGCAAAAGTTGCAAATTTAACAGGTAAGAAAAATGGTTTTTTAATATTCTTTCCTTAATTTTTCATATTTTAGTCCATCAAATCACTCGAGTTGCTAGTTCTCATAATTTGTTGCGAATAAGTCGCTCTAGTCAAGCTTAGTAATACACTAATACTTGTTATTAATGCAGAATGTTATAAGCTTCAATGGGCAAAAGGATTATTTTTACTGCATTTCTTGCAAACACCAAGGTCGTTGTAGTATAGTGGTGAGTATTCCCGCCTGTCACGCGGGTGACCCGGGTTCGATCCCCGGCAACGGCGCTATCTATGTTTTGGAACAAAAGTTACTTTTTTGGACCGAAACAGCACAAAATTTTAAATTTTTTTCACACTAAAATTTAATTTTTCGGCCGAAACACATGAAATATATAATGACAACACTCTGTCTTTTTTACTTATGATGCAGAGACAATGAAATAACAGGTTTGGTTTTATTTGACTTTTACTTTGAATGGGTGTATGATGTACGTCTTGATGTGAATTCTCCGTTAGGCATCTCATAGAAAAATGCGTCTCCAACTATTTATCTTTGAAACTTCTGATCGCGATTTTTGAGGGGACCACGTGAGAATAGGATTTTTTTTTTGGAATTTATTTTTCTTTTTTGGGAGTTGTTATCGAATCAAGGGCTTAGATTATTTTGTGGTAAAGTGAATCAATGGCTTAGATCGTGCATCCTTAGGCTACACCTAGGGAGTCACCTTAGATTCACTTTACCCATATATATATATATATATATATATTCTCAAAAAATAAAAACAAAACTATTTATCGTTGGAAAACAAAGCATTTTTGTTTTTGGTAAATTGTACAATACAAACTTGCATCCTGGTGTGATAAATTGTTATCACATTCGGATCCTCTTCACTATCTAAAAAGTAGCGGATGAACCACTACATAATCACAACCATTCATTTTTATCATTCAAAGAGCTAGAGAAAAATCAATTTGTACACATGCATGCCAATGCATTTTACCGCATAAAACCTGAAGCCAGTTTCTTTTAAGGGGCTGTTCGTTTGCCCAAAAAAACATGGAAATCGGAGAAATGAAAACCAAAATGAGTGCCACATAGATTTGGGGTTTTGGACGTTTTCCATTTCCCTTGTTTGGTTCGGATGAATATTTATAGAAAAGGGTCGGAGAAATGGGTTCCACGTCATTTTTTGTAGAATTGTGTTTTCAGCCATAAAAGGTCTGAAAATGGGTGAAAATCTCTGCAGTTCCCATTAAAAAATTGCAGCGGTTGGGTTATCGAGGCGGCAGGAAGAAAACGGAGAAATGGCGTCAGTTCCCTTCACCGCTTCATCTCCTAGCTTTTTCTGATGTCGCCCCTTGCCATCACCATTGCTCTGGGGCCTTGATCTCTCCAATACTCCACCCAAAAATTTCAGCCGATGCACTTGTATGTGCTTGGAATCCCGCGACTACCATTCAGGTGCTGTTTGAGTGAGGTCAGCCAGATCTAGCAGCAAAATATCCTTTTTTGGGTGATTTCTTCTTCTGTTGCTCTTCTTCCGGTTGCGGCATAGTCAGATCTGCACCTGACCTGCCTGATTTTGTGCTTGACCGGAGATTTTGACATCTTCAGTGGCTTTAAGTTCGATCCGATTTTTCCGTAAGGTATACCTCTTCACAGAGCCAAGCTTTCCCAATTTTCAACCATGCATCCAATAAGCTGTTTTAATCTTTGAAAGTTAGGCTTCTGTTTTGGGGGTTTTTGCCCTAGTTCCACACTATACAAAGCCCTTTCTTTTGGTAGATTCCCTAGCTTTTTCTCTGAACAATCGATCAAAACTTTTTTTTTCGGTAACATCTTTAATTCCAACTTTTCTGCAGTAACAGCTTAAGTTAACTCTGCATGTGGATGGTGCTTTTAATTTCACTATGGGGTTAACATCTACGCCAGTTGATATTAAATTAATAATTTTAACTTATAAGTAGTACTTGTAGATGGATGGTGATTTTGCTGGTGAAGATGTTGTCATTCGAATGTGTGCTGGGGCTGCATTGTCGGTCATGGTTATAGTTTTTACATTTTTGAGGAGACTGGAGCATCGTCGTAGATCAATAAGGTCTGGACCAAGTGATGAAAGACTACGGCAGGAAAGGACTAGGGCAGCATTGATAAGTCGTATCTATCACGGTTATAGTGATAGCTGTCAAAACTTCGTTAGAATGCGCTCAGGTGCCTTTATGAAACTTGCAAAGTTAATGAGGAAGAAACATCTGTTAAAGGACTCTAGGCACATTACAGTAGAGGAGCAACTGGCCATAACATTGAATATATTGGGCCATAAATCCAAAAATCGTATGATGAGAACGCAATTCATAAGATCAGGGGAGACCGTTAGTAGATACTTCAATAGAGTATTGCAAGCTATTTCATGCATACAAGGCAAGTACATGAAACAAGCACCGAATGAAGTGCCTCAAGAGATTCTAAGCAATCCTTCATTTTACCCATTTTTCAAGGTATCATCCACTACCAAATTAGCATAATATTACTTATCTAAGCAAGTCATATATTACATTGACAAAGTACGTTGCACTATATAGGATTGCATAGGTATGATAGATGGCACACATGTGGATGCCATGCTACCTGCTTCACTCGTCGTGCGTTTCAGAGGGCGCAAAGGTGTCACACAAAATGTTCTTGCGGCTTGCACACCAAACAAACTGTTCACCTACGTTTTAGCTGGTTGGGAGGGGTCGGCTAAAGACTATAGAATACTTCAAGAAGCGCTATCTAGGCCGAAGCCATATGGCTTACGGGTTTACACTGGTAACAAGCTCGATAACGAAAGTAATTAGTCACTAATAACTGCAATTTTACAATTCTAATGACATTACTATCTAATATGTAGATAAATATTACCTGTGCGATGCTGGGTACACAACCCAACCGGGTTTTATTTCCCCATATCGCGGTGTTCGTTACCATCTGAAGGAATTTACGGGCCGAACACCTCAAAATAGGAGGGAGTTATTCAACCTTAGACATTCATCTTTGAGGTCTAAGATTAAAGCTACCTTCGGTATATTGAAGAGTCGTTTCAAGATACTCACAGCAAAACCCCACTACCCCTTCCCCGTACAAGTTGACATCGTTTTGGCATGCACAGTTCTCCATAACTACATTGCAACAGTGGATCCAGATGATGAGTTGCTCAATGAGAGCTTCGACTTTGAAGAGGAAGTTCTTGCAGAGGAAATTAATGAAGAGGCCAATGTTATGGATTTCACTCGGCCCCAATCGGTAAGAGAACAAAGCGCTTCAAAGGATGAGTGGAGGTCTCGAAGAGATCAAATCGCTTTGGACATGTGGACCGATTATTGTCATAGGTATCGGCATGGTGACACGTCTGAATACCGATTATTGTCATAGGTATCGGCATGGTGACACGTCTGAATCTGCCATGTGATTTGTGTAGTTCCAAATGCAGTACTTTTATGTATTATCGGCATGGTGACACGTCTGAATCTGCCATGTGATTTGTGTAGTTCCAAATGCAGTACTTTTATGTATTACATAGTGTTGGTTTTTCATGTAACTTAATGACTTTCACTTATCATGGTGACTTGGTGTACTTTATGAAAACTATTATGGTTCTTGGTGAATTTCCCTATTTAGCATATATTCACTTGATGCTGCTTTACTTACATTTTGCATGGTATTCATATATTTGCTACTTATCATGTTGAGGGCATCAAATTACAATTGTTGAACTATAGGGAATGGGAGACAAATCATCCTCCGTAGGGCATGATGTGGGCAAAGAGCTTTGTACTCACTCCCCTACTTCAATGGCCTCACCACCTCCTCCCCAGTTTCCGGCCAGCAGTGCATTCAATCCAAGTTACAATCCCCTCTTGCAGTCAGCCTCACCCTTTGTGCAATCATCCTCAGTATTTCCAAATGTACCGCATTACGATGGTAACTTTTTCCCCATGATAAACCCCATTTCATCTTACATGCACATGCTCAGTTCTCCACCACCATTGGCACAAACTCTTCAAGGGTCCAATTCATCCGGACAATTTCATTCTCCAGCTAGTATTACAGGGACTACTTCTGATTCAGGTAACAAAAAAAGGTTGGCCAGCGATGAAGTGGTAGCAACTTCGCCTTGCACACCAAGAAAAGGCAAAGCTCTTACCCATAAGAAACGGAAAAAACAGGTGGAAATTGAAGCTGCAAATACTGCCCTAACCAGATGGTGGATGCCTGCACATGATGAAGTGCTCATACCCTTTCTTGCAAATTTGGCCAAGTCTGGCCTTAAACCAGACAAAACTTTCAAACAACATGCGTTTGCAATGGCAGCGGCTGAAGTGAACAAGAAATTTGGAACTTCATTTGTCACCAAAAGTGTTGTTAATCATATGAAAACACTTCGTTCTTGGTTTCAAGACATGCAGGCTGCTCGTAATATCAGTGGCGCGGGTTGGGATGAAGATACACAAACTATTATGCTGGATCTTGAGAGCTTTGACACGTGGAATGAGGTAAATTAACTTTTAATCCGTTCAATTTTCTGTTGGTGTGAATGATGTACTGTCCTATGCATTGAGCTAATGATGTTATTGTTGCATGCAAGATAAAAACAAAAGTAGGCTTAAAGATTACATCAATAAGCCTCTGAAACATTACGAGAACCTGGCCTTCATTTGTGGAGATGATCAAGCACGAGGTGACTTTGCTAAGGCTTCAATGGAGAAATTTGGTGGTCAGGAGCCTATTAATCTTGCAGATGATGCCAATGAGGATGTCAACATTCCTAGGACCCAGAAATCCCAGCCCACGGTCAACATGTTAGATGAAGACAATCAATCGCAAAACAATACCGTCAAAGCCCCCTACCAGGACTATCCAAAGAAAATCCCATCGGCTAAAGTGAGGGGGAGGAAGGCCCACTCTGAGCATGAGATCATGCAACAAATGGTAGATGAAGTTAAACACTTTTCTTCTTGTCTCAATCTTGTTAACCTGCACTGGACAGAGAAATTGTCCAATGCTATCTTCAGGCACAAAGATACCTACCCAATAGAATGCCTTGAGCTTTTTTACGATACCATATATGAAGATGAATCCAAGGCCAGGCATTTTATAGGTAAGAGTGACTTTGGTCAAAGGGCTTTGTTGGACAATTTCATGAAGAAGCAAGATGGGGGAAGCTAGGTTAGATATCCAGGTATGTGCTTGGTTCCGGTGCCTAACAGCTTGCACTACCAAGTCTGGTATTCTACATTCAGTTCTTCGACTCTTACTGTGTACAGGGACTTAATGACTTTCTGGACCTCTTTTATTTTTTGCATTAGGCCTAACAGTTATGTTATTATGTCGTTAAAACTTCTACATGGTTGGTACGCCTGTATATTTTGGGTTATGATGCAGTTGCTACCTTTCTGATTTATGTTGATGCACTCTAGTACATGATGTTGAGTGATGCTTAGTGAGTGGTGCAAAGTGTGACTCAGGTTATGCTGATTGTTTTTCTAATTTCAGGGACCACATAGGCTTCTAAGTCAGGGCTGAGGTGCCCCAATAGCGTCCTTTATTGCTGGTATGACAAGCTGTCACCTTTTTAATTTAACTTGAACGGTGCAATGATGAGTGCATGCCCATATTAGATGCAATCACATGTAACTTAACAATCTTAAGGCGAGGCAAGTTCATGCTGTCCTTATTCAGGGAACATAAATTGCAGCCTTTGATTGTTACAGCTGCAATGTGCATGCAACCTGATTCAAGAATTTATGAGTAGCCTGAGCACTGTTATTTGACACAGTTTGCACATGCATGCACAACCTGCTGCAATGATGATTGTCTAATTTCCTGATATTCTAATCCAGTAATTAATACTTGCAACGTTTTGGCGAGGCAGTCCCAACAGTTACCTAATGCGCTGATTAAACTGTATCGGAATGCAACCAACTTTGCGTAGTAGTTGATTACTGGTGTGGGATATATGATGATGTAGACATATATCTGAGCATCTTTTTAGCCAAATTCAAGACTGCACTGGATTTTTAACAAAATTGAGCTTTGTTACGTGATTCCTATGCTCTGTTACAAAACTGAGCTTTGTTACATGATTCCTATGCTCTGTTACAAAACTGAGCTTTGTTACATGATTCCTATGCTCTGTATTTTTCAGCAATACCCTTTATAATCATGGTGTCAATAAGTTGTTATGGATGTCTGTATTTCCAAAATGAGTTCTTGTTTGATACTGGGTTTCACATGTGAGTATTTTGCACTTCCAAATGCAGTTAGTACTTATTGTTTTTTGGCACGTTTTATTACAGATATATAGAGAGGGATTTACATCTCATTGTTTTCAATCTTTCCTCTGGTTTATTTTAAAACTGTTCATGCACAAGAGTACAACCATTCTACAGAGATTTTTGCATTATCTTTATTAAGAAAGACAAGATTACAATGTTCATGACAACAACGAAAATAGTAAATATTCCTAAGACAACTAGACTTTTCTTCAAGCAATCTACTTGATGCTTTGCAAACTTTAGTTCTCTTCGCAAGTGCTTAGCTTCAAAGTTGTCTATGTCTGAGACATGACGAGAACTGGCTTCATCGAAGTTTGCTTTACTCTTGCTGATCTCGTGCTCGTACGTGCTTGTTGTTCCTTCTTTGCTATCATGCTCAATTTCTGCCCATCTAAAGAATTTGCATTGCCTATTTGGGTATTTTGCGCAGCCCCAAAAGTATTTGCCCTTGTTCGGGCCATTTTTGCACGACTGTAATGGCGTTGGTATTTGACAGTAGCACGTTACCATGGCTCAGCTTGGCCTGAGAAGGAGCCTTCTTGATAAATCCTAGTTCAGCCCTTTGAAGAGGGTTTGCAAAGGTTGGGTGTTTTTCTTCTTGTCAGGTACCAAATTTATGCAGTTCCTAATGATGTTACTGTGGCTTTGTTTGAAATTGTCTTCAGCTTACCGTTGGCACATCGCTCCTTTTTTTGGCCCGTTGGTAGAAATCTTACCGTTGTTGTGACATGGTTTTGGGAGGTAAGCTCACCCTCATGAGGAGATGGGTTTTCTCGTTTTGGGAGAACTGAAGCCAAACAAACATGGCATTAGAAAAGTGGCAAAGAGCTCTGGTTTCCTTGTGCTGGGGCTGTTGTACAAAACACTACAAAAGGAGGAAATAGATTTCAACCTCTTCAAATCTCTGCGAAACAAACAAATTATCTCAAAACTGTGAAAACCCATTGAAATGTCAAGAAATAGATTTTATCCTCCTATTTTGTTTTCTTTTTTTCCCCAGAAATGTACCAAACAGCCCCTAAAGGAAATTCCAACATCAATTGATCTATGAAGGAACTGCGGCCTTAGGCCCGGCCCAAATATGCAAACAAAAGGTCTAGATGTCTACAACACTGACAAACTTGTAACGGTTCGAGATTAAATTAGTTGAGGGGGGAGTCTTATGTGGTGAGGGGGTTTTCTTTCTTCTACCCTTCTTTCAAATGATCTTCGTGTAATTCAATCAATCTTTTTTTAGAATAACAACCCAAGCAATTTGACTTAATTAGGGTAACTTTTATTTGAGAGTAAAAAAATAACTTCACTACGGAGACGATACAAAAGGATGGACGGCTGAGAATAAATTAGAAATTTGTTTTGGGTGTATAATCCTGTTATTTGCACGCACATGACAAATCAAACACATATACTTGATCCACCATCTTCAGAAATGGGAGATTCCATGACCAAATACAATGATAACGTGATGATTCTCATTTCGTGAGCATACACAGTACCAATATTATAGTCTATGCTCACGGGTTGTATTAGGAATAATATTTTCGCGCAATGCAATGATAACGTAATTGCTAGCCCATCAAGTTTGGGGCCCATTTATGAGATGTTTATATAAAAGTCCGGCATCAATGGGCTCCCATGCCATAAGCCCACATATTCCCAAACATGGTCCAGATAAACTGCTGCTGCGGCCCAAATAATACTTCTACATAAAATCATTTGCATGTACGGATGTCTATTTGCGACGTATACTAAAAACAACTACGTACTAGCGGTTGTAGGAATGACAAGTAACGCCTACTTTAAATCTTCAGTTATTCGTTGTTATTATTATTATTCCGGAAAGTATTTATTTTATATACTACTAACTTTTTTATTATTACTAGTTTTTACACACGTGCAAATTGCACGTGATTTAATACCATGATTAAGTATTTTTTGGCAGTTTGTGCTTATTTTTTTCTTTAAACTCTTACATCCCGATTATTTTTTTATGTTTATTTAAATGGGATATACCCAATTTAAATTTTCATGTTGATATTTAAATTGACAAAAAACAAATATAATTTAAAAATAATTTGAATTTTTATATTATTTTTGACCGATATGAAACTAAGCTTTATTTGAGAAAGTATAGCATTGCAAAGTGAAAAATATTAAAATAGTGTTATACAAGGAAGGTGAATATTTAAAACCAATATGGCAAAATGATTGATTTAAAGTATGTTAAAACCATGCAAAAGAGAATATGAAGTTTATTCCTAATCATTGATAGACTTCATAAAAAAATATAAATTAAAGATTAATGCTAACTCTAGTATACTTTTATATGATAAAAACATCCACATAAGAATATAAAAGTACTAAAAAAAATTCATGAAACTCCCTTCTAAAGATTCCTAATTTCACTCAAAATAATTAAACTATTCTATAAAATATTCAAAAAATATTATTTTTTATTTCTTCTATTTTATTTTTTATTGAGTTAAGATCAATCCTTCTTCAGGTTTATCATTTATCATTTCTCGGGCAATTCTAGAGTATTGTCTTCATCATCTACATCAATTGTGACATCAGGCTAATTTTGTATTTTTTATGCTATTATCTTTTTTGGGCTCGTTAATTTTTTATCATCTCATTTAACTCTATAAAGAAGTCAAATGTACTTATGATGTTCAACACAAACTGCTCAAAATATATACTTTGATTTTTTTTTCTATTTCAATGAGAATAAATATTAATTTCTTATATATAAAATTATTTGTGTTCCTAATTTATTACTTAAATAAATTAGAAGCTATCTTTTTATTTTCTTCTAAAATGAATTCTTCTGATGTGCATCCAATAAGAATTTCTGTTATTTCAATAATATTATCTTTGCTCTATCCCTGTTATTTTCCATAAAGATCTAAACTAAATACCTGCATTATTCATTACTAATTTCTCTTAGATTATAATATTAATATTTAATTTGAAGAACACAGTATGGAATTTATGAATACTTACTAATTTTTCTTATGTCTTCCATGGAGATTTTTTTCTTTGATTAGGATAAAGTTATTAAATTATTTTTTAATGTAACTCATTCAGTGCTTCATTAATAGATATGTCTTATGTTAATGCCAATTCAAGTGATTCATTGACGTTTTCTGAATTTTAGATTTATTTCCATCACTTTCCCATTTGCAATGGAAATAACTCAATTCTTTTAAAGTTATCTCTAAATATTCTAATAGTTTCTCCATATGTAATTCCTTGTATTCTTTTACCCTATAAATATTATTAACGTCAAAGATTAAAGTTTCTAAATTAAAATCAATTAATGCTAAGGTATAATATTATAGTGTTTTATCATTTCTATGGATTTAAACATCTATCAATTAATGTTACGAATGTATTTTGGCTACCCCAACTTATTACTAAAATTATATGAAATTACTTTAATTTATATAGTGCCGATTATTCTAAAACCCAAACACACCAAGTTTGGGGTGAACCCGTCGTCGTTTGACCCTTCATCCACTCGTATCAATTTTAACGGTTTTGAATGAATAGAACTTTTCACATGGCTCGATGGAGGGGATTTCATGTTTTTTATTTTAAGATTTTGAGACATTTGGATGAGCTTTATAATTTTAAACTTTTTAGGGTCTTTTCTGCAATTTTAAAACTTTTTATGGTTTTTTTACAATACTTCATGTATTATAATATGTTATCTACTTGTAATTTCTTTATCTTAACAAACTAATATCATTTTTATGTTTTATATATTTTATTAATATTTTAGTTTTTTTAAATTGTTAAGCTAAACATGGTTCACATAGGATTAGGATAAGATATGATTATGATTAGGATAGATTAAGATATAAATAAAATATTCAAAATAGTGAAGGATAATATTGACCATTGAAAATTAGAATTTGATTATAGATAAGGTAGTTCAAACTATAAAGGGATATATTTGTTTAAAAAAGATTTTCCGAACTCGTGCTTTTAAAGGGAGTATGATATGATATGATTACAGCTTTTGTCCATCTCGAATTTCCGCGCATCGCACGGCGGACGAACTAGTAGATAAATTTTTGTTTACGCCGATATTTTTATCCATTTACACGTTGATTTTTTTACCTCTCACGCTCACAACACGCAAAAGCTAACGTTGGCTAATAAGTCAAGCGGCGGAGTCACGGGCGGGGTCGAGCACGAGTTCACAAGCGTCCGAAATCTTTGAACATAATGATTGATTCCGCAAAACAATTGGCGTCCCGCGCAGATATATTAATTTACACCCCAACTTGAGCAAAACTGTTTAATTTTTGCTCCTGTGCATGTTCACGAGGACCGCCCGCCAGGCTTTTTGATGGTAAATTTCTATCTAGACCCCCAGATGCTTCCGGATATTTATTCACACCCTGGTTCTTTTTTTTTAAACATTATTCGAGCGATAGCGGAGTGAACCGTCTGGTTCAATTTATCAACGGTTCGACTTAGGATTAGTATACTCTGATTGGTCATATTAAAAATTCCACCAGTTTATTTAAAAAAAAATAAGAATAATTATACTGAGAAATGAATAAAAATCGAGATCACTGCTCACTAAGGGGGTGTTTGGTTCAACAATCTTATAGAAAAATTTTCTTAAAAGGACTGACAATGACATTTCTGTAATTAAAAATTATCCGTAGATTTCCGTAAACTGTGTTTGGTTCAAAATAAATTTACAGAAATGTTTTCTGTAAAGTACAGAAAAGTACCAAAATTTACAGAAATCAATTTCCTCTCAAAATGAGCGGAAATCACCCAGAAAACTGACGCTCCATTGATATTTTTCTATAAAGTTGACACATTTCTATAAATTTAGGGGTGTTTGGTTCAATTTCTACAAGTTATACAAAATCTTGCTATTTCCATAAAGTTATGAGCCGTTTTTTTGTTTTGAACCAAACAAGCAAAGTAAAAAAAAATAAGAAAATCAGTATCTTTTAACTTCTCAAAAATTTCCCTATAATTTTTTTACAAAATACAAAAAAATTATATTTTGAATGAAAAATATTTCCTATAATTAGTAGAAATTTGAACCAAACACCCCGGAAGGACGGGCACTTTAAAGAAAGTAACTCCTCTGTGTAACTCGTGTTTTGTTCTAGAAGTTACGTTATGAACATCCGAACGAAAAGGGGGTAGAATTGGTAATAAACAAGAACATCCGAGGGGTCTAGTACAAACATCCCCCTCTAGATTCTCCCGCCAAAAAAAAAAGGAAAAAAAGTAAAAAAAATGGAAATCCTGAAGCCCCAGCGGTAAAAAAGAGAGAATAACGAGAGGAAATCGCAAAAGTCCAAATCCCAACCTTGGCAAAAATCACCATTTCCTCCGTCTCCTGCCGCCCCGAGAAGCTGCTCCTTTTTTTGTCCACACCCACAACGTTGCTGACAAAATGCCTCAAAGAACCCCGAACCCCAAACCGGTGTAGATCTCCCAATGCCTTCTCTACCAATACCTCCTCACTCAAGAACCCCCGGGACCCCGGAGCCCCCGACCCGACCCCGACCCGGCCACCCCAGTTGACGATGCGGCTCCGTGCCGTTGATCTCGATCATCTCGGCCACGTGGGCCGGCTCTTGAGGACCCGGAGTCCAGTTCACGGGCTCGCCGAAGAAATGCGTGGCCCTCTGCCGCCTCAAGAACTCGGCCCATGCCTATCCGTGGTTGCTAATCTTGACCTGGATCCGGAGCATTGAGATGGTTGGGAGCGAAGGAGGAGGAGGATCGGAGGGGGAGCTTAGGATTAGGTCGTTGAGTGAACGCGATTAGGGCTGCTTTCTGTTGCTGCTGATTCGTTAAATCATGGAAGAGGTCGAGAAATGGGCCTGCGTGATGTTACTTGGCGGAGGTGGCACTGATCTGGCTGCGTGCTCGCATCTTTATCTTTCGATTGTGTACAGGATTGAGAGGAAGGATCGCGCGTCGGCTAGGCATCTACTGCAGGTAATAAACTTGCGTCGATCTAGTTCCTACTAAATTATCAGACGATAGATATCGTGTTTGAAATTTTGATCACACAAGACATTTGGCTTGGAGATATCATGAATCTTGCTGCACATTGACCACTGAGAAGAGAAGTGAGAACTTGCGAATGTTTTTACATTCACTAATGGAAATATGTTTGTGAAGTTTATTGCAGATTTGAAGATCATTGACATTAAAATTTGGAAAGCTTACATCTTTTTACATTTTTAGAGCTAAATTGCAGTTTGTTAACAATATACTTGTTGCCGTTGAAGTGCACTGCATGAATCTTAATACAGATTGATGGGTGTGACAACTTGTTAAATTTCAACAATATGTCTATGAGTAAGTCTTATGATTGAGGAAACAGAAACACCTTAAGCTATTCGTATGTTTCAGCATGAAGTAATGCTCTCAACAGATTAAACTCAACGCGACATAAACTAATCCATGATCATACATCCATCCACTTGTAGGTCATGTAAATGGATAAAAAAAACTCGTTAAATTACTTCAACGAGATTTAGTCAGGGATTTGTCTTAACTTCTCATATATTGTTTCCCTAGGTGTTCATCGATGCACCGTACCTTGCACGGAGAAACCTCCTCCCTGATCTCTGGAACCAATTGTTCCTGCCTCATCTGCTCCACCTTAAAGTTTGGCACTCCAAGGAAGTGGAATTCATCGCAGGTTGGGATGATGAGTTCCGGGAACAGAGAATGAAAAGCTTGGATAGAGCCTACAATGATCAGATGGACGTTGGCACTTCTCAGTTTGCTTTATACTACAAGGACTGGATCAAGCTCGGTGCTCAGTCTCCTGCAGTTCCCTCTGTGACTCTACCTTCAGTTGCTGTTAGTAGAAGCATGTATGTACGATTGTGCCCTCTATTTGTTTTTGATATTCTTATCTGACATTGAATTCTTATTTGAAAAATGTTTGTTGTGGTCCAATGTTTGAAGATATAACTCTGTGGTCAGTATTTCTCTGGAACGGGAAGATATCGTTGATACTGAACTAGTTTCTAAGACAGAGATTGAGGGAAAGGGAGGAACTTTTGAGGCTGGGCCCTCTTTTCATGTGAGTGACTTCAGGCTGTTGCGAGTTAGTTTTGATTCTATGATTGGAGCATTATTATTAGTTCTTGTGATGATATCAAACTTAATTTTCAACTGATGTCAACTTGCGGATTTGATTGCTTAACCTATTCTAGTTAAATATTCTGTCTTGCATGTAATAGTTTAATTTGTATGATACTTGCTCTAATCTAAAATTAGAATATCCAGCACACCTGGACCATGATATATGTCCATTTGTTTTCAATTCTTACAATTTTATAGTGTGTGATTAACTTTAAAATTACATATAATATGGAGCATGTTGAGCCCCTTTTGCACAATCAAACTATTTTATAGATCATCTTACATAAATTTAATCTTTTCGCACATGAATAGCAATAAGCACACATCTTTTATGAGTTATTAAATATACATATATGCAGGGGAAATATGCACTTACAATGCCGCGCGTCCAACACCATATTCGTTATTATTAATTTGAGTTGATTGTGGTAGCTTCCTAGAGTACTATATAGGCCAGTACTCTTAAATTAGGCCCTTGGATATGAGTTGAGTTGCTCTCTTATTTGCTGATTGTTCTTATCATAGACATGTCATTTTTATCTGTTTCTTTTTTAAACTGTCAATCGACAAAACTTTCTTAACCTTTTTCTTTTCTGAGTAGACAGACTGATCCAAAGCTCCAGCAGAGGCAATCAAACTCCATTCAGCAACACCCTTTTGTGGAACCAGCACCAGAGCCACCACCAGCACCTCCACCTCCATCTACACCTTCAGCTCGGAGATCATATTCTCTCCGGTTACTACCTTGTCATAGCAATTCTCTCCGGTTACTACCTTGTCGTAGCAATTCTCTCCGGTTACTCTCTTGTCGCAGCAATTCAAATAAAGATCTAATTCATCCCCAAATCCCTAAGAGTGCATCATTCAATGATGTCCCTGTATTGAATCTTGAACGTGCCATTTCTTTGATCTCCAATTCAGACAGTCTTCCTGAATGTGAGACTGCTATCCGTTTAATTGCCAAGTCATGGTTGGACTTCAGCGGAGAGTCTGTTATCAAGACCATATTGTCCACTTCATCATTCATTGAAGGACTTTTAGAGATATCTTTCACTTCTAAAGACGATGATGTGTTAGAAATAGCAATCTCCATTTTAGCAGAATTGGTCACGAGGAGTGAGATAAACAGACAGGTAATGTTAAATGCTGATCCCCAGCTTGAAATATTATTGAGACTTTCGGAAAGAAGTAGTCTTTTCTTGAAGGTAGCAGTATTGACCTATCTACTGAGACCAAAGGCAAAACAGATGCTGTCATCTGATTGGATACCATTAGCTCTTCAGGTTTTGGAGTTTGGAGACAAAAAAGAGACTTTGTTCACACTACAGTGCTGTCCAAAATCTGCTGCGATGTATCTTTTAGATCAGCTGATTACGGGTTTCGATGTAGATAGAAACCTGGAGAATGCAAGACAAATAGTTGCACTTGGAGGGTTGAGCCTTTTGATCAAAAGACTTGAATTGGGCAATGAGAGAGAGAAAGAGATATGTGTTTCACTCTTAGACACTTGCATTCAAGCTGATGGAAGCTGCAGAGATTACATGGTTGCTAATATACAGAAGGCATCTCTTGTGCAACTTTTCTCAGGGAATCAATTGAAATCTGATGGCAGTGCCATTTCTCTGCTAAGCGAGCTTGTTTGCCTCAATAGGTATGGCCTTATTTATAAATTACCTCAGTATGTTTCATATCTTTGTTTTTATGGATGCTGCCTGCAATATTCTTCTAGAAAAGCTGCTTAGAGAATTAGGATTTTTGCATATGAACCTCATACATAGGAAGACACAACAAAGCCTTTTAACCTAAAATTTTGGAGTTGATTACATGTCTTGTTTTTCCATTGAGTTATTTAAAGAGCCATCTCCTCCAAAAATCTTCAATAGATTGACTTTTTTCTCTTTTCAAATAGAACAACTCGTATGATTGAGTTCCTAAATGGGCTAAAGAATGATGGTTGCTTGAACACAATGCATGTCCTCTTGGTCTATCTCCAACAAGCTCCACATGAGCAACGCCCACTAGCTGCAGTGCTTTTATTACAACTTGATCTTCTGGTATCATTCCAAAGACTTTTTTTTTCACCAGAAGAAATGTAATATCTTTTGTCAAATCACCATATGGTAGTTATCTTCCAGGGAGATTCTTCACACTGCAGTTTCTATGGAGAAGAAGGAATTGATGCTATTATAGTTGCCTTGGAACGCAGTTTACATAACAAGAAAGTCCGGGAACAGTGTAGCAGAGCTCTTCTGATCTTGGGAGGTCATTTCTCTTCTGTTGGAGAGCCACTAACTGAGTCTTGGTTACTTAGGAGAGCAGGGATGAGAGATGTTCGGGGGGATTTGTTCAGAAGTAAATGGAGAACCAAAGATGAGTTTGAAAGAATGGTATGTATCTAAGTTTCGAACTGATAGTTTCCTCTCGTATTAATCAAGCAAAGTTGGAAGCAACATGCATGCTGAAATGGTTAAATAATCATACTGATTGCTCCAAAATTATTTATGTCTGCATACCAATATACGTACAATTCTTATTTTCTGACCATGAGAAGAGGTAGTTATTATTCCTTTTGCTCTAAATGTTAAAAAGAAACCATTATCATGCCTTTTCTAAATAAAATTAGGAGTAAGGGAATGCAAATTTGTTGGAAATGATAATTGTCAATAGTCAAGTTTTGGTTGCATTTATTCATGATTTTGACAAGCTTGGATACATGAAATCCTTTTTTCTAGTAACTTTTTGAAGGCATAAAGAGATTGGTTTTTGAACTTCCTTCTCTTCCAAGCCAATAGTTTATGGAACTATTCATGGATTATTCTTCACTGCATGAGTTTAGAACCACATAACAACAATGTTGGTTCGTGCAATTTTGGCAACTAGCATCAACTAGCATTTTATTTTATTTTCTTCTGTCATGGCTTTATCTTGCCCAAAGTTTCTTTGGCCTCCAAATTAGCTTTCATATAACTATCTTAACGGCAATGCATGTATATTTTATATTATTCAAGAATATTTCTCAGTTTAGGAAATTTCGTACAGTTCTCCTAAGTTGCATAAACTTAAATTGCATGACTGCCAAATCAGGTTCAGAAAAATTATGGTTCTTTGTTCTGTTCTCATATTAGTCTATATGTACCATTGACACTTTCACCTATGTTTTTCAACAGCATGGAACATTATGCCATTAGTTGCGTTTTCTTATATTACTACTGTCCCTTTGTCCATTACAAATCATGACTGTATCAGACAAATCATCAGGAGGAAGAAGAAAAATCAAGAGATAGTTGGCTTAGGAAATTGGCCATCACTTTGCTGTCAAGTGGTTACAAAAGATTTGTTGTTGCTCTTTCAAATTGCATAGCTGATGGGATTCCAGGTTTGGCTCGATCATGCCTCATCACAGTAGCATGGGTGAGCTGCTCAATCTCCTCTTTGCATAATGTTAAGAGTAGTCCACATGCTCTGGCTTGCTCGATTCTTAGACCTAGATTGTTAGAGAGCTTGAGCTATGATAAAGCATTGGAAGAGAGGGTGTTGGCTTCATTGTCACTGCATAGTTTTGCTAGGCATCGAGGTATCAATCTTTTTCTACTACTTCAATTTTAAAATCTGTCCTCTTTCTTTTTTGTCTAGTTGTGTGATCTGAAGAATGCATTTTTACATAGGCAAATTGGGAATGCATATAATGCATTTTTTGTGCCTCATTAATTTGCGAACATGTATAAACATGCCATCACTTGCTTTGCTAATGAGTGTCAACTCACTCCTCATTTCAGCACATTTTCAAATTTTATTATGAGAAGGTAGAAATATGTATACGCATAGACTGTTGCAGGTCAATCACAATTTATGAAAATACCATATGCTTGCTCTCTGCGATTTTCGTGTAATATGTAGATTTAAGTATATAATCCATCTAGAAGAAAATCATAGAAGGAAGGTGTGAATTATATTGGTTACAATCAAGATGTTAACATGTAACAATGCATATTCGTGAACTTTACATCTTGATATGTTAATGTTATGATTCTTGGAGAAAGGAAAGAAATAAAAGAAAAGTTGTCAGAGGTCTTTTATATTTAATTTTCAACTTGGACTAACCTTAGCACCATCTTCTTATCTTCTTTTTATCTTCTTTTGAAATAAAACCAAATATTCATTTCAATGAACTCTTTCTACACTTATGGATTATTTTGAGTGATAATGTGACTTTGCCCTAAGAAAATAGAGCAATTAGCTCATTAGTTTTAAGATGTGTGTGACATAAAATTTCTAAAATTTGATTCTCTTCAAAATGTTGGCTGTATTTATTTATTTATTCTTTTTTTGGGAGAAAAAATGTTGGTAGTATTGATAATTAATGCATACGTTTTCCTTTGCTTTGAGGGAAAAAACTTAAGGATGCATAAAGCGTGGCTCTTTCGGCTTACTGAATTCAGGAATATGATGGTGATCTATTTGATTTTTTGCAGAATGCCTTCAGATGCTTTTACCGTTGAGTAAAGAGACACTTTCTTCACTAGAAGAGCTCAGTAGCGTAACTTGGACTGCTGATGAGCTTCTCTTTATGTGCTCGCTGTGGTTAAATCCTCTTAATCGAACTCCCAGAGATCTATTTGGTGAAAATACAGAGTGAAGATCCGTATAAAATTTTCAGAATGCCATGAAACAGCACAAAGTCGGATTTTATGTAATTATTTCTTTAATAGTTTCTCCCTTGAATTGTGTAGATAGTCACTGTAGCTGATACTGTAACAGTGATTTAATCCAATGTTGAGTTTTAGGAGAGATCTGCATCAAATTATGAAAGAACATACAGCTTTGTGATTTTCAGCAATTTTTAGTGCAAATTTCGATGCTTCGGGTTGAGGCAACAGAGTGTTACTGAAGGACTTACAGCCTGAGAAAGGAGCGTATTCACTGTGTTCTTTTAATAAAATGCAAAAATGATTGTAATTTAAGGTCAATTGTCGCATTTATTAATTTTCTTCTTTTCCCTCATTTAGCTTTTATCTTTTCTAGCCAAACTAAGTACAGGACAGACAGGTACTTTGCTCAAAAGATCATTATGCATAGCATGTGCATTAAAACCATATATTCACTTCATTTCATTATTGTTTTTTTTTTCCTTTGGTTTTTTTGGCATCGTATACTTTTCATTATAGCATACTTTTTTGCATGCTCACTTCATAATCACTTTATTACATTGTAGTATACTTCTCTGCATGAACTAATGGTTTACCAATTCAGAAGAATTGTTCAAAATTCTTAATGCATCCAACGTGGATTTGGAACCTTATTTACTGCACACGTAAGCTTTTCTCCCCCCTTTGATAATTTCTAAATAATAAACTATCTATGTTGAATTTAATGCGAAGGTTGGAAATAAATAAAAGGAATAAAAGTGACAGTAAACAAATATGGTGTCCATGTACATGTTCCACAGTATCATGTAAGTTTTCAAATAAATCAGGCTACAGAAGTAGATAGAATCCCTCATATGAGCATTCATATATCAACCTAAAATGTGGAGTTTTTTTAGTTAAATACCCACCTTATGTCGCATGTACACCTACAATGAATGTGTTTCTTGTAGGGACCAAAATATCCTTTTTGTCAAACTCTTTTAATGCTGTCCCCCCTCAAACACTGGTATGAACAGATGTTTAAAAAAACAGGAAGGATAAAATTTTCAAAACTAAATATGAATTCTTTTGGTCTTTTACATAAACTTTTTTATTAGGGAAAACTATAGTCTGCCACTTTTTTTATTAGGGGGATAGTCTATCGCTAATTTATTTTCACTTGCGTCTGACGTCAGTCGGGATAAGTTGTTACGTGTTTCGCAGTTTTGTACATTCTTTATTTTTTTATCGAAATGTCTTATTTAATTTTTTTTTCTTCTCCGAATGAGTTTTAAGTATTGTTTATGTCATCCTTATGATTTATGAACTTGATGGGTTGATAGATATGAGAGTTAAGTTTTGTTAAGGACTTCATTTTACATGAAAGTTTCTGATAAAAAGGCTTTTGTTAGCTTTTCTTAAAAGAGAAAAAGATTAATTGCCTTCCAGTATTTATTCCTTTATACAAATAGGAGGATCAAAAGAATAATTGTTCATGCTATAGTAAATGCTACAACAACATCTACTGTAGCGTTAATACTGTAGCAAACAGGATATTGGCTACTACAACTTTTTTGAAAAAAATACCGCATCACACGGGAATACTGCAGCATTTTTTAAAAACTATAACAAATGAGGGAACTATAGCGATTCAAAAATTGCTGTAGCATTAAAATCGGGATAATTGTAGCAAGGGAAAAAAAATAATTACGATGCTTTGCACGGTATTCACGACTAGTCTTATTGTATAGCGTAACAAAACAGGTGACCCTGAAGTTGTGTATAGATTGTGAATTTTGTAATTGTTATTACACGGGTGACCATGTAGCCAGGACGACAAACAACTCTCAGGATTATCTGTGTAATTACACGTACTCCATTGTCACGTCACCGGTGTAATTACACCATACCCCAAGGTACCAGCTTGTAATCTTCTCTATTTTCTAATTTCAATTTTCTCTGATGGGCCCAGCTAAGTTTAGCCCAGAAGATGTACTTCGGCCATATCCACACACAGACACACCCTCGCTTTCTGAACTCTTAAAGCCCACAATCGTAAGGTACGACGCTAGAGCAGATCCCCCTAACAAGAGGGAGGAGGATGTGGCAAAAAAGAAGAAGAGGTAAATTCCCTTCAAATTCTCTTCCTCTCTCAGTGTCAGATCTTGGCCCCTCTTATCTTATTTTTTCTATTTATGTTTCCTTGATTGTTACTACTTGATATGTTTCATCTACTGTCATCATTACTCTCCCTTTACTTGCTTTGCTCACTTCATTCACTACAAAAATTCCTAGATTTGTGTTTCTGAGCTCTGTAACAGGTTTGCTTTATTTGTTCCTTGATTATATGGGTTTGTTCTTAAGATTATAATGATGGGTTTTGTTACTAATAGCATTACTTGTAAATTTTTTTTTTCTAATTTGATTTAGTCTTAATAATTTTGGGTCTATTTCTTCATGTGCAATAATGTACAACATGGGTTTGTTGGATATTTTTTTTTGATATTGTTTTTTTTTCTCTTTTCCAATCATGCAATTTTTTCCCCCTCTTTCCTGATCAAAATTGATGGGTTTTTCCTCACTATTTCAGTTATATGGGTCTGTTCTCAAGATTAAGATCACGGGTTTTGTCACTAATAGAATTATCTGTAATGGGTTTTGTTTCTCATCTGATTTAGTCTTAATAATTTGGTCTATTGAAAATATTCAAATGAGTACTTTTCTTTGGCTTCTTCATGTTTAGTAATCTGATTAGGATTTTGGATCTTGGTTTGTTGATATATTTAAATATGATTAGATTTCATGCAAGTTTTTTCTCTCTTCTGTAAATTATAAATCTTTTTGGGTTTATAGGTTTACAAGGAATACTGATTGAGGTTTATTAACAATGATATTGTTCTTCAATATGAGTCTACACTGAAGAAAATAGCTTTCCCCCCTCTGTGGATTCCTCTGTTGAGAGCTTGTGCTGCAGTATTCTCCTATTCTTCTTTTTTTTTGCTGGTCCACAAATAGCCAACTGTTTCAGGTTGTCATTTTCTTTCTTCTTTTTTCAGAGATGCTCATTACTGAGCCATGGCTCACCAAACAAAGTAGCTGACTGCAGACCCCTTCAGCCTCTGACAATACATTGTACATCTTTCCCCCTCTTTATCAGCTTTGAATCCTCAAATAGTTTCAGGTGCATGCTTTGTGCATGTTTTTTTTCTCCTTCCTTTTTTTTTGTCTTCTTATTTTATTTACTTTGTTTTCTTGAACTAATTTGGGAGGAATTTCCTGCTGATTGGCTTGTTGATTATGCTCCCCTCATGATCTTTGGTGTTGTCCAGGGATTAAGGTTCTTTTTCATCTGCCGGCTGGCTTTTTCTCCGATGGTAATTCACGGGTGGATTATCCTATAGGTAACATAAATTTTATTATGTGGATATTAGTTGTATTATCTTGGATTAGACCATTGGGTTTGTTTTATTTGTTAGAAATATAGATGGTTTTTTAGGGTGGCTTTGTGTTGGATCTTAGACTCTTCAATGGTAAATTGGGAGTTTCACTCTTGGTTGGGGTTTTGTTGGGTTATTGAAGAGAATTTGTGCATGGAGTTTTGGAAAGTTATAGATATATATTTTTAAATTGCGACTGATATGTTCTTGCAATCTTTATTGGGGGATAGAGGTCATGGGTTCTGAAAGATTGAGCCTGTGTATGTCTCAGAGATGAGCTTTGGAGCTTAGATTTGTGAAAGGGATACCTTACAAAAACTTTATTTGAGGTTTTCTTTTTTCACTTTATCTTATTTGCTGAGAGAAACCTTACACTGCCTTGAATTTGTCTCCCCTAAGATGATTGCTAGAACATGAATTGAAATTTTAGTTGTTGTAAGTATCCATTTTCGGACTTTGTTCAGTGTCCAAACCCTTGTACAAAAACACGGTTTTTCAAAACCAATTTTTCAAAACCGACCTTTTTTTGGCCTGTTCGGTTTTGCTAAATAATTAGCAAAACGACCGATGTTGCTAATTATTTAGCAAAAGGGGTCTTTTAAAAAAAAAAAAAAACTCCTTATGTTAACTGATGGGATAACCATTTTCGATCTCTCTCTCTATCTCAACTCGCAATCTCTCCGAGATCTCTCTCTGATGAAACCCTAAATCTTATCCCTCTCTAGCGAGTCGATGATCGTGGTGGTCAGTGAGTGACGCTGGTCGATCTTCCTCTCGAACAAGCCCTAATTCCTCTCTGGAGAGGGGGCGACGACAATGCTCGGCGATGAAAATCCTCGGTGACGGCAATCCTCAGTGATGGTGATCATCGGTGATGGTGAGTCATTTCTACTTTGTTTTTACCTAATCTGCAAAGTAGCAAAGTTCAGTATTTGTAGGTTCATTCTTTTAAATTGGGTATCAAAATCCAGTTATTGATATCTTTACTCTCTCAAGTTTTGCTCCTTATGTCTACTTACATGATATCTTGACTCTCTCATCCATCAGTTTTCCTGTAGGATTTTGGTTAAAACTGTCTTAATTACATAGAGGCTATGATTTTCGTAGGATTCGTAGGTTGGGGCAGGCACAAATACATGAGTTCGTCATTGACAAAGTGTTTTATGTTTATTTTTCTTCGCTTTTCAGTGTACCCTTTTATTTATAACAAATTGTTGTACCTAAATGCAGTCTTGATGGGTATTTCATATGACCAGCCTATAATTGTATTCAGCCTTTTCATGATATGTACTTGAATATGATGCCTTGCATTCATTTCAATACACAAGTATAGAATGATCACTGAATTCTAGTTTATTTATTCTAAATTACATTCCTGATAAATTCTCTGTTTGGTACTCGCAGCTCCGGAGGATGGAATTCTCGAAAGCATCTAAAGATTCCCGAGTAGCTTTCTTAAAAGGAGAAACGAGCCATCACTAAGATCTCCATGGATTTCTTGAATTGCATGTCTACCATCTCCCACAAGAGCTCACTCGTCTTCAAATGCTGTCTATTATTGCTTGTGCTCCTTGCATTTCGAACTCTAATGCTCTCTCCTATACCAAAGAACTTCCCTTGGATAGCTTCTTACCATCTTTCAAATCCTTCTCATAACCCAATCAGAATCAATAAATTTTTGGAGGTTCCTCAAATCATATGGGGCCTAAACAATCAAAAGATAGCCTTTGCTCGAGCTTGCTTAACAGCCAGACTCTTGAACCGAACTCTTCTTTTGCCTAGCTTAACTGCCAACTTGGTCTACAAAGAAATTAACTTGTCTGAACCAATTCCTTTCAACAAAGTCTTCAACTTTGAGAAATTCAACTCTCTATGTACTGGGTTTGTTCAATTAGGCCATTATTCCAGTCTTTCAAACCGAACCAGTCCACTTGAGCTCCAGAAGGGAAGCGGAAGGAAGTGGACCAAGGAAAGAGATTTGAGCCAACTGCAGCAATTCAAAGAGGGCTCATGTGATAAGTTTGAAGTCATTAGAATCACTGGGAAAAACCCGTTCCTTTGGCATGATCATTGGCCTGTAAAAGATTATGCAAAAGTTTTTCGCTGTTTGGCTTTGGTTGATGAGATAGAAGAAGAAGCATCGAAAGTTATCTCAAAGATCCAAGGAGGGGAAAATGTGCCTTACATCGCGGTCCATATGAGGATAGAGATTGATTGGATGATTCATTGTAAGAAAGTGGAGCAAAGGCTTCATACATCCCAAATTTGTAGCAGCAAAGAGGAAATAACGAATAGAGTTGCTAAAATCGCTAGCGGTCTACCAAGGCCGATTCCAGTGTATCTTGCTATCGCCGATAGTCTACTGAAGGATGGTTCAATACTTAGTGGTTGGGAAGAAGGTTTAATTCCTTTCGAGAAGAAGAAATTGGGGGTTTGGGATGTTTATCAGAAGCATCCTTATATCACCCAGGCTGCAATTGACTTTGAGGTGTGTTTGAGGGCTGATGTCTTTGTCGGCAACAGTTATTCGACTTTTTCGAGTCTGGTAGTTCTCCAGAGAACAGAGAATTGGATTGAAATGGGCAGCGGGGCTTCATGTGGAGGTAATTTGAGCTTTGCTTCGTACGCTTATAACATCTTGGGTGAAGATGGTGGTGCTCAGAGATGGATGACTGATATGTCAGCCTTGAGTCTTGAAAGTATCAGTTATGGGACAAATAACATCTCATGTGAAGTTGGGGGAATGAGCTGAGTCTGTGAGAGGAGGTGTACGTTTGAGGAGAGGAATATTCTTTAATTGATCTGTGAATGTTAAAACAGAACAACATAGGATTCAGTTAGAAGGCCTGCTCATCTCTCTGTATACTGTAGTTGTACACACACAGAATCCAACATTGAGGGATATACTCATGTATTCTCATGGTTTACACTTTTTTTAACTTTTTTGAAGGTAAATTTACCATGTATTCATTTTCACGTAGTATGCTTTTAACGGGTTGAAGATTTAATTGCATTTATTCTATTCATGTGATGAAGCTCCTCTTAGCTCAAATCATGTGAAAGGTTTGCTATACTTTACTGTGGGTGATTCATATGTGTAGTTTATTCTAAAATTTGTTTTTTTGCATTCCCAAATCCATTATATTATTTTAAATAGCAGCCCGCATCTTGAGGCAATAATTGGGGGGGGGGGGGGGGGGCGGGGGGGGGGGGGGGGGGGGGGGGGGGGGGGGGGGGGGGGGGGGAATGTGAGGGGCATGAGTTGCAATACTAAAGGTTGCGTTGGAGCGTAATAAAAAAAAAGACAGAAGTCTGGGTCTAATATGAGAAAACACGTAATATGCATCCGGCCCAAATTCAGCCGAATTCCGTTGCGGCCCAAACTTCACCGGCTAATAAAAGTTTCTGTATCGTATCGGTTCTCGTCTCGTTTCGTCGACGTCTTCCTCTCCCGAGAGCGATGCTCTCAAAGCCCAGAATTTTTTTTTAAAAAAAATAAAAAAAATGCAAGGGCACTTCAATCCCCATCACCACCACCAAATCCAGCAGCAACTAGCTTCTCTCCTCTCCGCCGCCCTCGCCCAATCCACCACCTCCTCCGTCGCCGGCGCAGAAGGGAACAACAAAAACCCTAGCAATAACAACGGCGCAGTTACTAACGAGAGCTCTCGCGTCAGCGCTCTCGAATCGCTTCGAAGAACGATTGTTGGACTCTACCCTATAAATTCTCTGGTTCTTTCTCACTCCGCCTCTTTTCTCTCTCACGGACTCTTTCAGCTTCTCTCCGACAAGTAAGTAGCTTGTATTTGCTCAAGTTATGATTTTGATGTTGGCATGAATTTTTTTGGCTAGAAAAGGTAAAATTTGAATTTGGTAGAGCTAAACACTGCTGGCAAATTTATATTTTTTCATGTTTGGTTAGCTGCATTGTAATTAGGGAAGGGAAGTGAAACTTAAAATTTGCAGGAAAAAATCGGAGCAAACGCTGCTAAGAAGTTGGTGGGAGCAAATTAGAAGGTAGAAACTAGATGTCTCTCATCTAAAACACACTTCAATCTAGTGAAGACCATCTCTAACTACTATAAATCATGTGGTTTTTGCACCAATTATTTTTCGAACAAATAATGAATTTGCGTTGGAAGTACACTTCCATGATAAAACTGCAGATATCCAAAAAATGGATTTGAAGTGGATTTACAGTAACAAGCAGTGCATGCAACGTTAATTACATTTTTGTTTTTGTGGAAAGCCAAACATCCCCAAAATTCTGTCATGTTTGACTTTCTTTCTAGCAGTAGAAACTCAATAAACTACAAATTTAGATATTCCATGTAAATTTTGGTTGATTTATAGACTCTATGGTCTGAGTTAAAATGCATTTACGGGAAAGATATAATTTAGATTTGGCGTGGTTTATTGATCTTTCAGTTTAAGCTCATGAGTTCTACAGAACTCTCCTAGGAAAAGTTATAACTATTGTTATATCAGTTGCATCCTATATTTGAGGCATAGTATAAGACAGAAACCTTACCTGGGGGGCGAATACTGTAAAGATGAAACAATAACAACTGTAATAAAGGTAATGGTTTTTGCTCTCGTCAATTCGATAAGTAGTTCTTTCTTGTCGAATTGAGAAATAAGCGTGTTTATTTCGTTGTTACTAAGTTTTATTTCTTATAGATCTTATGCTGTGAGGCGAGCAGCTGCAGTTGCCTATGGATGCCTGTGTGCTGTCTTGGCTTCCACCTCATTTGCGTCAAATGGGTTACAAAATCATGTTCTGATCACTGGGCTTGTTGACCGATTCATTTCTTGGGCCTTACCTCTGCTCGGTGACATTGGCGCTAGGAATCGCTTGACAGAAATTGCTCTTGAAAGCCTCCACGAGTTCCTTAATGTGGGAGATGCAAGCAGTGTAGAGAGATATGTGCCCTCTATCCTCACAGCATGCCAAGAGGTTATTGAGGATGAGAGAACCTCACTGAGATTGCTCCAACAGCTTCTGGTTCTGTTGAATTTGATCTCAGTTAAGTTTGAAAGTTGCCTCCAGCCTCACTTTGTGGACATTGTGGATGTGCTTCTTGGATGGGCATTCATGCCGGAGCTCTCTGTAGCGGATAGATGTGTCATAACAAACAGTTTTTTGCAGTTCCAAAAGCAGTGGGTGAGCAATTTACATTTCTCAATGGGATTGCTCTCTAAATTTTTAGGGGACATGGAAACTCTTATTCAGGACACAAGTCTTCATGTAAACCAGCAATTTGGGAGATTATTTGCTCTTTTCTCTTGTTTCTCAACAGTTCTTAAGGTCACAGCTTCTGGCATTCTGGAAATGAATCTGCTTGAACAGATCAGTGATCCTATTGAGAATATAGCTTCTCGGTTTTTGAGATTTGTGTCGTCTTTCGGGAGTAAGTTTGGTTGGTCAAACTGGATAGGAGAATCCTGGAATTGCTTCATTCTTCTGGCTGAGATATTACAAGAGAAGTTCTCCCATCATTATCCAATGGTCATCAGTATCTTGTTTGAAAGCATGAGGACAGTTTCTTCCTCACAGGTGCTTGGACTGTTGAAGACTAATACGCAACTTTTGTCCCTTCAGAAGATGGCAGTCCTGTCTTCATCGGTTCAGACCTTACTACAGTTTGATTCCCCTTTGTCTCAGCTGCGTCTGCACATGAATCATCTTGTCGTTGCCAGTACTGTTTCCGTTTACCTTTTCTTTCTTCGACATGCTTGTGATAAAGTTGTTTCTCAGGCTGTTATGTCCTTGTTGGAAGAAGTAGAATCTTTAAAAGGTATGCTGGGAGAAAGAAGGTATTGCAACCCCAACCATGATGGAGTTGAGGTGGAAAGTAAATTAGATGGGCAATTACTTCCTGACTCAATTTCCTGCAAATACTATTCTGAAAATGATTTGATTTCCTTGATTAAATTTGATTTGAAATTGTTATTATGTTCTGTTTCTGTTCGTTCTTCTGAAAGTAGTTTCGATGATAACGCTATTTGTGAGAGATTGACAACACTTTCATCATTCATGCTTGAAACGCTGAACCCTTTTAAGCAACCCATCCAAGGATTCCTGGAGTTGCAAGTCCATGTTGTTAGCGAAATGCACAAGCTTAGTGAGGTTGAATTCTTGGCAAAGCTCACTAGCTTAAGAAAATCTTCAAAGAGTACTTCTGGTATTTTAGACAGTGAAAATCAGAGGTGCATTGAGATAAAAGAGGGTGAATTTGTTCTTGTTGTTGAATATTTGAGGAAATACAGCAGTTGCTTGATCAGAGCTTTTGATGGTCCTTCACCTCTTGGAGTTAAACTGGAAGCGCTGTACTGGATTCGCACCTTTGGCAGGATGGTGTCAGATATGAACCAGGACAAAGATTTGGTTGAGTCGTCTTGCAGTTCATCCAGGAATGTGACTGTTTGTAGTGATTTACTCTTTTTAGTTTTGGATGCAGCGTATGATAGGGAATTAAACTTACGGTCTCTTGTTGCATCCGTCTTGGAGGTACTTTTGGAAGCAATGCTTATTAATGCTGGAGATCTTTGCTATGTCTCAGTAGTTGCTCTTGATAAACTTGGTGATCCAGATGTCCCCATAAGAAATTTATACTTAAGGGTATTTTCTATCGTCCTACCTCTTACAATGTATACTTGTGGTTTTCATGATGGTGGTGACTTGAACAAACTGGGAGCTGCAACGGAAGGCAATAGATGCTACATAAATTGGAAGAAAGTCCTGGCCTTGAACCAGCTTCCTTGCAGACTTCACTCTCAGCAACTTGTTTCAATTCTGAGTTACATCTCCCAAAGGTGGAAGGTGCCGCTATCTTCTTGGATACAGCGATTAGTCTTCAGTTGCCGGGGAAAAAGGGAATTGACTCCTAGTCCACATGAAGTAGTTTTAGATCATGATGGTGATGGTTTGCAGAAGGATGCAGCAGTGGTAGGAGAGATGTTGGAGAAAATGTGCCCAGTTAGCAATCTGGCTGCCATTTGGTGGTCCATACATGAAGCTGCTAGATACTGCATCAACCTTCGTCTCCGAACCAATCTTGGGGGTCCTACACAGACTTTTGCAGCTTTTGAGCGCATGCTTTTGGACATTCCACATGTGCTACTCCATGACGCTGAGCAGACCGAAGGCAAGTATATGGGGTCATATAATTATCACTTACTGCCAATGCGGTTACTGCTGGAACTTGTTGAAGCTTTAAAGAAAAATGTGTATAATGCTTATGAAGGGTCTTGTGTTTTACCTTGTTCACCTCGGCAGAGTTCCTTGTTTTTCAGGGCAAACAGGAAAGTTTGTGAGGAATGGTTTTCTCGTATATGTGAACCTATGATGAATGCTGGATTAGCTCTGCACTGCCATGATGCAACCCTTCATTACTGTACATTGCGACTGCAAGATCTCAGAAATCTTGCAGCTTCAGCTTTGAAGGAGAAAACCCGTGGAGCACAAGATAGTATCCAAAACCTTAGACCCAAATTAGCAGCAGATGTCTTGAAAGTCCTGAGGCATACATCCCTGGCTTTATGTCGAAAGCATGAGTCAGAGGCTTTGGTCGGACTCCAGAATTGGGCTGCAGTTACATTTCGTGTTTTGTTTGTGGAAGATGATCAGGTTGGCCAAGGTGTAAGTACAGGCTCTGGGCAACTTTCATGGATGGATGGACTTGTGTATCAAGCTCAGGGCCACTATGAAAAGGCTGCTGCACATTTTTCACACTTGCTGCAGTCTGAGACGTCGTTAAGTTCCCTAGGTTCTGATGGCATCCAGTTTGTCATTGCACGTGTCATTGAGAGTTATACATCACTTTCAGATTGGAAGTCTTTAGAGATCTGGCTAACAGAACTTCAAGCACTTCGTGCTGTCCATGCTGGCAGGACATATTCTGGTGCTCTCACTGCAGCGGGAAATGAATTAAATGCAGTTCATGCCTTAGCACGTTTTGATGAAGGAGATATAAATGCAGCATGGGGCTACCTAGATTTGACGCCTAAGAGCAGCAATGAACTTACTCTTGATCCCAAGATAGCATTAGAGAGGAGTGAGCAGATGCTTTTAAGGTCTATGCTCCAAAGGGATTCTGGTGCAGATAAGATTGCAGAGGATGTAAAGAAGGCCAGACTGATGTTGGATGAAGCCTTGTCTCTTGTTCCTCTGGATGGAGTGTCTGAGGCTGCTGCTTGTGCCGTTCAGCTTCACTGTATTTCTGCTTTAGAAGAATCGTTGGGTGCTAATGGTGTAAATGGATCTAAGCGGATACTAGGTTCCTTAAACCAAGTCTTGAATTATCCAATTAGAAGAATTCGTCAAGACTGTAGCTTATGGATAAAGGTTTTCCGTGTTTATCGCACTCTGATGCCCACTTCTGCAGTGACTCCTCTTCTTTGTGAGAAACTTCTCAGTTTATCTCGCAAGCAGAAGAATTTTCTATTGGCTGATCGCATGAACAAATACCGTAGAGACCACCTTTTAAGATATTCTTCTGATAAGCATAAAGAAACTTTTTCTACGAACTTGGAGTATGAGGGTATCTTACTAAAGTATGCGGAAGGTAAGCATGAGGAGGCTTTGACAGATATCTGGTCACTGGTACGCTCTACTGTTCTGTCATCAGGTACTTTTGCTTCTGACATCAGTAACGTTCTGAAGGCTAAGGCATGCTTGAAACTTTCCACTTGGTTGAGACAAGAGAAATCAAATATTACTTTAGTAGAAGTTCTTTCAAAGATACGCAAAAATTTCAGTGGTGCATTTGATGGTTCTTTCACTGCACCGGAACTCCCATTGAGCGATAGTAACTTATTCTCTGATGCATACTGGAAAATGATCCTTGAGGAGATAGTGGGCACAACCACAAAAATATCTTGCAAGCTTTGCCCCACAATGGGAAAGACATGGCTTTCTTATTCGTCTTGGTGTTTCAGTCAAGCAAAAAGTTCTTTTCCTCTTCATGAAACGGTTCTGAAGTCATGCTTGCTCTCCCCTGTACTTAATCCAGAAGTATCGTCTGACAGATTCCAGTTGACAGAAGAAGAGATGTCCAAAGTGAAATCTATAGTCATGAGAGCTTTCCATAACAGCACATCAATTGAAACTGTTGTAGATGACGAAAGTCGCGGCTTAACTGTGCATCCTAAAAGCGAAGCTCTTGTGAATTCATTAGTGCAGCAGACAGTTCATCTGATGCAAGCTGCAGCTGGAGCACCTGGTCTCGAAGCCTCCAATGGCGAGTGCTCTTCTGCCGCACTTACTTCTCAATTGCAGGTGCTTTTCTTTTCTATGGATGCAAACTTGAAGAAGAGTGACCTACTTCCTTTTGTTGATGAGTTGATTGGTGTTTGGTGGTCGTTAAGGCGAAGAAGGGTAGCACTATTTGGGTACGCTGCTCATGGCTATTTCCAGTACCTTTCACATTCATCTTCCAAACTTGATGAGAGTCACTCTTCTACTTTTCATCCTGATGCTATTAAAAGGAAAGCTCCAAGCAGTTCTCTTCAGGCAATGTTGTATCTCCTACATATTCTTTTAAACTATGGTGTTGAGTTAAAGGAAACATTTGAATGTGGTTTTGCAACTGTCCCTCTGTTGCCATGGCAGGTGAGATTATGGCAGTCTTTAGTTGTCTAAGATTGTTTAATGGTGATAATAGATTTCTGATTTAACTTCTTTTCAATCGTCCTTTTTAGGAAATTACACCCCAGCTTTTTGCTCGGTTAAGTTCTCATCCTAAAGAAGCTGTAAGAAAACAGTTGGAGGGACTATTGATGATGCTGGCTAAGTTATCGCCCTGGTCTATTGTATATCCTTTATTAGTTGATATAAATGCTTATGAAGGAGAACCCTCGGAGGAGCTTCAGCGAATATTAGCCTCGTTGGTAATGAAACTATGTACAGAGATCTGTATATCAATTCTGTCATTTTGTTAGTGCTCTCTGCCTTCCTTTTTCCCCCCATGGCTGCAACCTGATTTGTTCTTCACGTATGATTATAGTTTGCAATGTGACATGACCTGTTGTGGTAGGTTATTAATTCCTATCCTTCTGCTGTCTAATACAGGCCAAGCTTTACCCAAAGTTGATTCAAGATGTTCAGCTGGTAATAAATGGTTTAGGGAAAATTACTGTTCTTTGGGAGGAACAATGGTTGAACACACTTCAGGATCTTCACGGTGGTAACGGTTTTTATCTGCATGAAAGAACCAATTTTTCCTTAGTACTTTTACTAGTGTGTTTAAGACATGTATTGGTGTGCTTCTTCTCATTTTCTATACTTGGGCATCTAACGTAGTGTTGTAGTGGCACAGACGTATAGAAATTCAATTCTCTACACATTGTTATCCTCTAACCAAATGCAGTAATTTACTTGATCTTTATTTCTTTTGTTCTCACAATTGGTGCATTTATGTTGTTAAATATGATAAAGCTTGTACAACTATAAAGGCGTGGAAATTTGGCTTTGATAGTGCGGACAAGCCATGTATAGAAATAATGCATGCATGATAAAAGATCTTTACTGTACACTTCATGTCTCTCCTATTAGATTCTCATCCTTCTCTCCTATCGTATTTTTAGTGTTTCTTGCAGTCTGCCACTTTTCAGTTATGACTTTGATGACCATCCTCTTGTAACTATTTTGTTCGGTTGCATTATTACGCATTTATTCTGATTGATAATGCACTTTATGTGTGATAGTTGTCTAATGGCAAATTACTAAAGTTTATGATCCTTGAATGCAGATGTCATAAGGCGCATACATATGCTAAAGGAGGAAGCTGCACGGATTGCTGAAAATCCAACTTTAAGTAATACTGAAAAGAAGAAGATCAATGCAGCAAAATACTCTGCTATGATGGCTCCAATTATCGTAGCATTGGAACGTCGTTTAGCCTCAACTTCCCGTGAGCCTGAGACAGCTCATGAGGCATGGTTCTGCAAAGAGTATGGCGACAAGCTGAAGTCTGCCATCTTAGCTTTCAAAACTCCTCCAGGGTCTACAGTGGCACTAGGTGATGTGTGGCGACCATTTGATGAAGCCATTTGTTTATTTGAGTGAGGTGGCTCCACAACTGGCATCACTTTCATCTTCTGAAGTACCGATGCCTGGTCTTGAGAAGCAGATTTCAATGCTTAATTCTTCTGGGACTTCTGGTGATGTTCAAGGCATTATCAGTATCTCATCTTTCTGCGAGCATATGACAATCTTATCGACAAAGACGAAGCCTAAGAAGCTTGTCTTACTGGGATCGGATGGTCAGAAGCACACATACCTTCTTAAGGGCCAAGAAGATCTACGTCTTGATGCCCGGATCATGCAGTTGCTACAAGCAGTCAACAGTTTTCTTAATTCATGTAGTGATACTCTTAGTCGATCCCTTACAATTCGTTACTACTCTGTAACACCAATCAGTGGCCAGGCTGGACTTATCCAGTGGGTTGACAATGTAACTAGTTTGTATAGTATTTACAAGTCATGGCAGATACGTGTACAACTCGCAGCAGCTGGTGCTGGAAATACAGACAGTCATGCATCACCTGTTCCCCGCCCGAGTGACATGTTCTATGGAAAAATTATACCAGCACTTAAAGAAAAAGGTATTCGAAGAGTGATCTCAAGAAGGGATTGGCCTCACGAAGTCAAACGCAAGGTTCTTCTGGATCTTATGAAGGAAACCCCAAGACAACTACTTTGGCAGGAAATGTGGTGCGCCAGCGAAGGGTTTAGAGGTTTTAGTTTGAAGACTAGAAGGTAAGCTCTCCATAGTGTAGTTTATGATTCCCTCTAAGAGCACAAGGTTCTGGTCTAGACTTTATTTTTGGCTTCCAGTTGCTATTTGGATTGGAAGTGGTTGTGAAATGCTTAAAGCTGAACCAAATTGAACGAGATTAGGATCATAACCTTTTCTTTATTATTAGCTGGAGTTACTTTAATGGCATAATTGTTGAAGTAAATGATGTGCATCTAAGCTCACATGTGGTAATTAATTTTTCATATCCGGCAATTGTTCTTATGTATTAACACATGTTTTTTAAAACTCCTACACAGCTGTGTTCTAGTATGCATGTTGGAGTCAACCCTCCAATAGCCGCTCACTAGACCTTGCCTCCATTTTAGTGGCCCCTTGTTATTTTGCTGCTGTTGACATTTATAACTGTATTCTCCTCTACTTCTGACATTATTGGCCATTATTTACTGTTTTGCCATATTTGTTCTCCTTTTTTACAGTGTTACATTCATATAATTTCCCCTCACAGTGTAATAATGTGTTTTGTTCCAACCAGGGGACAAATAGTAATCTATTAACCAGTAATGGAGTTTATCTTGCTATTTTAAAAAACCAGTATCAACCATTGATGACGGTTTTCCATGATCTAAATATTGTTAGAACTTAGAAATTGACCTCAGTGATGTATTTTTTGAGGAATAATGTTGTATATTTGCAGTTTACAATTACATTCTAGGATAGTTGCTTGACTTGAGAATAAAATGTCTAGTCGATTTACTCATGGAGTTGCAAAACTATGTTATGAAGAGTGGAGTAATGAATATATACACTGATTAGTCTATCATGCATCCTAATACCTTTTTAAGTGGTTCATTTGTTAAGATAAATGATCAACTTTGTCTTCCAGGTTTTCTAGTAGTGTAGCAGCCATGAGCATGGTAGGCCATATTCTGGGCCTAGGAGATAGACATTTGGATAACATTCTTATGGACTTCTGCAGTGGCGATGTAATCCATATAGATTACAATGTTTGCTTTGATAAAGGGAAGAGGCTGAAAATCCCTGAAATCGTCCCTTTTCGTCTTACTCAGATAATTGAGACGGCACTAGGATTGACAGGAATCGAAGGTTCTTTCAGGGCTAACTGTGAGGCAGTTATTGAGATTCTTCGCAAGAATAAAGATATTCTCTTGATGTTGTTGGAGGTATTTGTCTGGGACCCCTTGGTGGAGTGGACACGGGGAGATAACCATATTCTCTTGATGTTGTTGGAGGTATTTGTCTGGGACCCCTTGGTGGAGTGGACACGGGGAGATAACCATGATGAAGCAGCAATAGGCGGTGAAGAGAAGAAAGGAATGGAGCTTGCTGTCAGTCTTAGCTTATTTGCCTCTCGATTTCAAGAAATCCGTATTCCTCTGCAGGTATTCATTCATTGAAGAATCAATCATGCATGATCATCTAGGAAAATATAGAATGAATCTGGCAAGGGGTCTAAAGTGACTAACTGCTATAATAAAATTTCTTTATTGAAATAACCTTTAATATCTAAAGTGAAACTTGGCCTTTTAGGTAGTGAAGCACTTTAGTTAGTCTTGTTCTAACCCATGAAAGGGCTGCAGAAGTTGTGCTTGCCCAGCGTGGAATATTTTATCATCACTCGTCGCTTCTCAACCTGCTATTGTTCTGCAGATGATAATGAGATCTAAGACCCATTATGTGCATTGAAACTGTTAGAATTCTCCTCTTGGCTTTTGAACTATGCACCTTATATCATCGTAAATACCTAACTATACTTCATAGAGATTTAAGTATTAGCCTTTCTGGGAAATTGTAGTTCTGTTGCTTCTTAGTTACATAATTACATACTTCATAAGACACTTGGAATATGGATAAGGAAATTGTAGTTCTGTTGCTTCTTAGTTACATAATTACATACTTCATAAGACACTTGGAATATGGATAACTGTCATAATGATGACTACATTTTTTTTTTTTGGTCAGGAGCATCGTGATCTTCTGGTATCTACCTTACCGGCTGCTGAATCTGCTCTCAGGGTAATTCTTATGATTTCCATCTGCAACTATTTTCATGTAAAATATCATGAATTTGTGGAGATTCAAATCAAGTAACTTCGTTTTTCCCCCTGTAAACATTTGGCAGAACTTCTTGGATGTCCTAAATCAGTATGAAATCATATCTACAATTTTCTATCACGCCGACAAAGAGAAATCAAGTCTTCTGCAGCATGAGGCATCGGCAAAGTCAATTGTTGCTGAGGCAACTGCTATATCAGAAAAATCTAGGGTGGTCTTTGAAGCTCAGGCACAAGAATTTGGACAAGCAAAAGCTGTGGCAGCCGAGAAAGCACAGGAAGCAACTATTTGGGTGGATCAACATGGAAGGGTCCTTGATGCATTGCGGACTGGTTAGAAAGCACAGGAAGCAACTATTTGGGTGGATCAACATGGAAGGGTCCTTGATGCATTGCGGACTGGTTCCATTCTAGAGGGCCAACTATTCATGAGATTGAGTGGCATGGAGGAGGTTTTATCTCTTGCATCTGCTGTTCTTGTGTCCGGTGTTCCATTAACGGTTGTTCCTGAGCCGACACAAGAACAGTGCTCTGACATAGATAAGGAAGTTCATCGTCTGATTATTGAGTTGGATAATGGTATTTCTTCTGCTGTAGAAACACTTCGCGAGTATGCCTTCTCATTGCAAAGAGTTCTTCCTCAAAATTACATAACAACTAGCCCAATCAACAGTTGGGCACAGATTTTGCAGTTATCAGTCAATAACCTTTCAGGTGATATCCTTTCTCTTGCGAGAAGACAGGCTGCTGACCTTATTGCAAAGGCCCAAGGTCATGATCTGGATTCAATTCAACAAAGGCATTACGACCTTTTCCAAAGAATGGAGAGATACGCTGACCATATCCAGAAAATTGAGGATGAGTGCTCTGAAATAATGAGGTCTGTTGGATCAGATATTGAGTCAAAATCTAAAGGGCGCTTGCTCTCCGCTTTCACAGAGTATATGCAATCTGCCAAGTATTCAAGTAAAGATGATTTGTCCATTGGTTTTTCAGGCCAACAAAAATATGAGGCGACAACAGATTCTAGACTAAGGGAGTTGGATATGAAAAAAATGATGGTTTTACTTGCACCACATATGGCTGCAAATGAGCTGTACAAGGAGGTTAAAGATAAAGTGCTCAACATGTCCAACATTTCCACTGAGAAAGTTGGTTGGGCAGCAGGAGATATGGGTCTCCAACATGATTCTAGTAATTCATTTCACGAGTTCGGAGAGCAAATTGAGAAATGTGTCCTAGTTGCGGGATTTTTGAATGAAGTTCAGGAATTGATTGGCACAGACTTAGCTAGCACCAGTATTTCTTCAGACAATATAAAGCAGAGGTATGAAGGAATCTGGATTTCCATTTTTCAGGCTAGTCTGCATTCCTGTAAGCACTTGGTTGAACAGATGACTGACATTGTTCTCCCGGAGATAATTAGATCAGTTATCGCTTACAACTCTGAAGCGATGGATGCTTTTGGAATCCTTTCACAGATGCGCGGTTCTGTTGATACGGCAATTGAAAAACTTGTTGAGGTGGAGCTAGAGAAAGCATCCTTGATCGAGCTTGAGAAAACGTATTTCACGAAAGTTGCATTCATCACAGAGCAGCAACTAGCCCTTGAAGCAGCTTCTGCAAATGGCAGGGATAATTTATCTTGGGAAGAAGCTGAAGAACTAGCATCCCAAGAAGAAGCTTGTAGAGCACAATTGGACCAACTTCATCAGTCCTGGAACCAGAAAGATGTGCGGAGTACTTCTCTAGCAAAGATCGAATCTAATATTAGAAGTTCGCTAATTTCTTCTGAACAATATTTTTCATCTTTAATAGACGATAGAAAGGAGGGGGATATACACATTAAGAGCAGTGGGACCCTTCTTTCTTCCTTGGTAAAGCCTTTCTCTGACATGGAATCGGTCGATCAGATGCTATCTGCAGATGCTAACCTTTCTTCCTACTTAAATGAGTCTGCATTTAGCTTGTCAGATCTCATATCATCTGGTTCTTCCCTATCCGAATCCATGTGGGGGTTTGCGAAATTATTGAAAAACCAGTCTTTTTTTATCTGGAAAATTGGTATTCTGGACTCCATTTTGGACTTGTGTATACATGATATATCATCTTCAATTGATCAAAATTTTGGTTTTGAGCAGCTATACAGTGTTCTTAAGAAGAAGCTTGAGATTCATCTAAAGGAATGTGTTGGCCACTACTTGAAAAGAAGAGTTGCTCCTGCTCTCATATTACAACTTGAGAGAGAGAATGAGAATTTGCAGCAAATGCTCGAAGGAAGCAAGGACTTTGTTTCTGACCAGGTAAAATTGGATAAGGGAGCAACGAAAAGAGTTCAGTTTATGCTTGAAGAGTATTGTAATGCTCATGAGACTGCAAAGGCTGCTAGATCAGCGATTTCAGTTATGCAAAGGCAAGTAAGTGAGCTCACTGTGGCACTATGCAAGACAGTTTTGGAGATTGTTCAGATGGAGTGGCTGCATGATGCTTCTTTGCCCCATCTATTGGAGAGCATAGAGTTGCCTCAAACTAGTCTTGAGAATGACAAAATTTCTCCACTACTTTTAAACCTTAGCAGAACGCGGTTATTGGAAAAGTTACAGTCATCAATGTCATCTGTTGTGAAGTCATTAGAGTACCTGCAAACATGTGAAAGGACTTCTGTATCAGCAGAAGGACAACTTGAAAGAGCCATGGGATGGGCCTGTGGAGGCCCAAATACTTCTGCACTAGGCCATTCTTTACTCAAAAGTGCAGGAATCCCCTCTGAATTCCATGATCATCTGCTGAGGAGGAAGCAATTACTGCAGGCAGTTAGAGAACAAGCAAGTGATGTTATCAAAATTTGCACATCTGTGATGGAGTTTGAAGCATCTAGGGATGGTCTGTTCCGGATGCCTGAGGAGAAGTCTACTGGTCGACCTATGGGAGATGGCAGAGCATGGCAACAAGCTTACCTGTCTGCTCTGACAAGACTAGATGCTGCTTATCATTCTTTTACATGTGTGTTTGTCCTTTAGTTAAATTTGCGTCACTAGATTGCATATTTGGCAACCTTGCTTTTTCAATAAGTGATATGATCCATCGGTTGTAATTTAGGTTCTATCTTGTTTCTTTTAATTAGGTGCTGAACAAGAGTGGAAGCTAGCGCAGAACAAAATGGAAGCCGCAGCCAGTGTATTGTTTTCTGCAACCAATGAACTCAGTGTTGCCTCTACGAAGGCAAAGTCAGCATCAGGTGAAACCTTTGGCTTCTTAACTTAGTTATGCAGTATAGCATGTACTGCCAAGTACCGAGTCAAACATATATCTGACATTGACATGATTTAGCTTTATCTAGTTATATTCATGTTGCATGTACGAAGAACTGATAAACGTGCATGATTGTACAAATGGACAGGTTAACTGAATTCTGTCTTTACCTATTTTACAGGTGATCTGCAAAACACCCTTGTAGCAATGCGTGACCGGGCATATGAAGCTAGTTTGGCTTTATCTGCTTTTGGTCGTGTATCAAAAGGTCACACAGCTTTGACTTCTGAATGTGGAACCATGCTGGAGGAGGTACAACAACATTTCATTTGATCGTTATGTTTTTAGTATATTCTGTTTCAGTAGGTCTCAGTGTTTGCTAAATTGTTTCTTATATGTTTTCATGCATGAGATGAATTATTTTTATTACATTTCTCTTATTTACAAAAATATTTGCAGATCCTGGCTATAGCAGATGGTTTACATGATGTTTATAGTTTGGGCAAGGAAGCTGCTGCAGCACATAGTGGTCTTATGGAAGATCTCTCTAAGGTTTTATTATCTTTCTTTGAACTTTTGAAGTTAATTCCTGATTTCATATCCTGTACCTCTAATATAATTTTTAAGATCAGAACTTATTTTTTTGTAGGCCCCTTCTCCCGATTTCATCAATAGTAGTAAAAACACCCAACTTTAACTGTATATTTTTTCAATTACTGTCAGGTAAATAAGATTTTACTTCCACTCGAAGCTGCACTGTCCACTGATGTAGCTGCCATTGCCATGGCAATACCCAAGGATAGAGAAATTAATGCAGATATTCCTCCTCTTCATGGACAAGCACTCTGCAAGTCCTATTGCTCAAGGATTCGGGAGGCCTCCTCTTCATGGACAAGCACTCTGCAAGTCCTATTGCTCAAGGATTCGGGAGGCTTGTCAATCTTTGACGCCATTGGTACCTTCTGTCATCAACTATGTCCTATTGCTCAAGGATTCGGGAGGCTTGTCAATCTTTGACGCCATTGGTACCTTCTGTCATCAACTATGTGAAGGAATTGCACTCCATGTTGACCAAGCTTGCACGTTCTTCAAGTATGCATGCAGGAAATCTCCATAAAGTAATTTCTCCTTCACCCTTTAATATATTTGGTCTGACACAAGGCTTTTTACAATACCTGATATTTCAATGAAGTAAACAATGGTCTCAACAAAGCCTTTTATCCTAAGTTTCTATTTAAGAAGAAAAATCAGGTTACAAAAAAACAGCTACGTTCTTTTAGGAGTCTGAAGAAGTTAAACGTCCAATAGTTTACAGATTTTATCGTGATCTTGCTCATAATTAACTGCATTCCAACCAGTATTTACAAAATCATGTGACATTGTTCGCTGTTTTATAGGCCTAAAGGAGTAAATGAAAAGAAGACGCTAAGGTCACTATTGGAAAAAACAGAAATCCCTTTATAGTTTCTGACAAATTCTTTACATTTTCCTTTGAAATCATATTGTAAGGATAGGTTCTGACATTGCTGTCTTGTTTATTTTGACATTAAGCCTTGAAGAGGGCTATGTAACTAGAATCCAAAATTATTATTGCATTGCATGAAAGCAGAAGTGTAAACTGCATGAGTGACAATTTCTTTCCCCCCTTATAAACAACTGTTGGGGGGTTATTATTATTTTGTTCAGCAGCAAGCTTACAACATATGAAGGAAACATAATTGGTACTTAGTATTTGTCTCAAAAAGAAAAAAAAATTATAGATATTTCGTTCCATTTACTGCAGGCACTTGAAGGCCTTGGCGAAAGCCAGGTAAAACAGTCTCAGGATCTTTCTCTTTCGAGGGCTGAATTCTCAGATGGCGCAGTTCTATCTGAGAATAAGGAGAAGAGGTTCCTTGGAACCAATACTGGTAGCCTTGAGGACTTAACAACTGATGAAAATTTTTCCCTGCAAGATGAGGAATGGATTTCTCCTCCAGAGCACACGTTTACTAGCAGCTTAGAATCTAGCACCAGTTCGGTTGATGAAAGTTTACCACAGATCTCCAACAGCACAGAGAAGGTACACGATAACATTGATTTTGAAGGTGATGATAAGTGTGTTTCTATTACAGATATCAATGGAGTAGAAAATGCATGTATTGTGAGATCTGAATCTGAATCTTTGAGAGATGCGGTCTCCACCAATATTTCTCCTGCCTCAGTTCCATCTGATCCTAGTGAAGGCTTGCAATCCTTGTTGTTACCAGAAGTAGTGGAAAAGGAAAAGCCTGAAGAGGCAAAACTGTTGGATATGAATGACTTGGGCTCTTCGAGGGTGACCAAGGGATATGGTCATAGTCATGTTGAACCTTCTTCCTTTTTGGATCCTCTGAGCCGAAACACTAGGGGTAAGGAATCATGTCATAATTTTCTTCTATTATATAACTATTATGTTGTTTTCATATTACCTTCTTCTGATTTGTTATTTCTTTATATTTTAAAGCCGACGAGGGTCTGTAAGGTGACCATCATTTGTTGGTTTAGACGTATTTGAGGAAGCTTGCTCCAGTAATTATACATTGGTATACATTAACTGATCAAAGCTTCCCTTTGGCACTTAGTCAATATTGAATTGTTTTATGTTTCTTTCGAAACTCTGTGCTAAAATAGATTTTTCTTCTGGCCAATTGCTGCATGAATTTTATCAACGATGTCAAGAGGTTGGTAGTGAAATATCAGTCTTGACTGTGAACTTTGAAGGTAGGATAACCATCTCCTTACGTATATTCTAGACAAGATGTTTTTGGGAGGAGTATTTTCTTTTTTTCCCCCACCTTTAGGATCTCACTAGTTTAGTCTGCTTCCTGAGGTGGGGAAAGATTAAACTCATTTCGGTACTTTATTTTGGTGGGCTGTAATAGCACCATGGTACATGACAACTATATCTAATCTTTCATGAGCCTTGACCTAGGAGATAACCATAATTATGAACCTTCTCATCCACATTCTGGTTGAGTACAGATAGGTTCAGTCAGATCTTATTTTATTATTTCAATGGTGGGTCTTGCGAATCAATCCAGTGTTTCGTAATTGAAGATTTTAGATTTCCAGTCTTCAAAACAGGGTTTATAGGGTTTTGTGGCTGCACTTCTGGACTTAACAGTACTGGAGTTAATTTTAAGCAACATTGAGGAATATTTTGACAAATTTAATTGTTTACAAATTGGAGAGTATGTGAAGGGTATCCGACTTCAAAAGTTTGAACTATTGCTGGATGGGCTATCGGGAAAATGCATGCTCTAGAGGACAGTGAAGCAAACACAGGGAACAAGGGATGTATTACTCTTCTGATAGCTGAAAGATACTGATTTTTGGACTTGAATAATTTATATTTCACCTTTCTTGTTCCTGGCAAATTGTTGGAATCCTAACCCACCTTCTCCAAGCCACTAGATGGTCACTTCGGCATCCATTTTTTTCAAATGCAATACTTAAGCTGACAAACTTGAAGTTGCTAATTTGGTCGTGTCATATTTTTTTCCAGAAAGATCACTCCTGAGCCAAAATAAAGGGTGTTGAAAGATGCTAGTCATTGTTTCTGGGATGTTCTGTGTCTGCAATCTGTCATTTATTCATGACTTTAGTACCCTCCGTGGAATGGAATCAAGGGAATGGGTTTTGTTGGAAAAAAAGTGGTTGCCTCACTTGTCTGCTTGTTACTTAAGATGATTAGATTGTGTTTTTGACATCCTTTATATGTTCTGATGATGCTTTGTTGATAGGTAAAAACCCTTATGCTTCATCGGTCTTGAGGCGAGTTGAGCTGAAACTTGATGGAAGAGATACTGAGAACACGAGGTACACATATGTGGTGTTATGATTTATTTATTGTGTTCAAAATGTTTTTCCGCAGTGGATTGACCTTGTTGATTTTGTGCAGTTCCATGGAAATTGCTGAACAGGTGGATCGTCTCCTTAAGGAGGCTACAAGCATAGACAATTTATGTAACATGTATGAAGGGTGGACACCATGGATATGACTCAATTTCTGGGATTTTTGAGCTACCTGCAATGTATTCATCAGGTATTATATTTCTTGGTCTTTCTGATTGACTAGCTTATGTAAGCTTTATTAACAATATTGCAGTCAGTATCCTTATTTTGGTAGGAGAGTTGGAAACTCAGTTTTTGTATCCGGTTGTACATTGCTTAACCCCATGTAATATCATCGCTTCTCTCTTTTAACAGATGGATCTCAAAGACTAGGGTGACTTAGATGGTCATGCTGTGTGCAACATGACCTGATCAATGCTTTCATGAACCTGCTGGTATAGGCGTTTTTCAGTGTATGTATCTTTAGTTTATCTTATGCATACTCCATTCTGTATTCTGGATTACCATAATATTGGAGGTTTCTATAGGAATATACTTGGGGTTTATTAAAATTTTCTCCTGTATCTGTGTTTCTTCAGATTTGTTTTGCAGGGGCACTGCAAACTCATCTGTCATGCTATTTTAATCCAACTTATATGCTTTTAACATTTACTTTGTATCATTTCAGCGTGTTTGTCCAAAATAAAACATTGTCTTGCTAGCCCCTTATTAGGCATTTAGTATGTGCTCATGTTATGCTGAAAATTCAAATAAGTACTTTGATCAAATTAGCTTCAAAATGTTATGTTAGCTTGTTACTTGTTCCAAGATGAAAGTTGTAAGCTAAATATTCTAGTAGTATTAAATGTAACAATGATGTATCAAGTTTTGGAATAAGTAGCACGATCAAATTGGCATATTTCCTGTCTTCCGTTCTTTGCCCTTTATTACTACCTTGAAACTTGATTTGTATTTGATGTCTTATATGTAGGTTGCAACACTATATTATATATCACATTATGATATGTTGCTGAAGATCTTCTCCTCACATAGTCGGATTAAACTCTGATTCTTATAAATGTTCAAATTTCTTAATACATGGATCTTGTTTCCAGGATCTGGCCCTCAGGACTTTTAAGTGCCTGAGATGATTCATCCTGATCCGTATGTTACCTGATAGCAATGCAACATAGAAAATGATGTAAGCTCTGAGAATAGATAATGATGCTTAAATATTTGCATACAAGAAATCGTAATTTCTTGCTCTTTTGCCTAGAGGAATGGACAAGGAAGCAGTTTCTTGCAAAACGGAACGGATCCCATACAGTATTTAGCAGGGTTTTGGAGAGTAACACAACAATGCACTGCATTACTGTAATTCCCAAACTCTCATGCTCTAAAAGATGCAGAGTGACAGCTTAAGTTGGCAGCCATATTGCATCAAAGGTATCTCAAACCCTTTTTCTTTTAGCTGGTTGGCTGACACTTTGCATTCTTTCTCTGTACTAGAAATTTGGCATATACAAATACACACTATATGAAAGATATTTGTTCTAGCAATTTTGATTTTGTAAAGATGTATATGAAAAATGTTTACAGATGATGAGGGTGAAATGACGTTTGTTCTTCTTAAATAAAATTACTATTTACTCTTCTTCGTCAATTGAAAGTTTCTCCAACATTTGCGCTACCCCCGCTGTTCTGTTCATATAGTAGTAGACAAGGCTGAATATCATGCACATCCAAGTCCAATCTGTGGAACCCTTCACTTTATACGGACAGAGCTCCTCCTTACACGCACTAACCAATACACTTGGGTCATTTCTCTGATAATTTCTCAATTCTTTTGTCCGCAGCGTTTGACTGCATATGTCTTGCAAGTAAATAGTTGCTCGGGGTCGAGGGTGGCTGACACAGGAGTAGAGGAGCCTCAAGTGCCGGGGTATAATTGATTTCTAAGCTACCTAAAACTGGTATTGTAGTGTTGAATCGAGGAATTAATATATAGTGTGGAGATGCGTATGTGTATTTTTTCTATGTTGTATTCTGACTGCTCCTTGTATGTAAAGTGACATGTTAAGAGCCTGCTTACATGTCACAAGTTTTAAGGGGTTTGTATTTTTTTCTGTAAATTGTGTATCTCATGCATCTTTATCAAGTGTGATTCTTGATCAATCGTAGAATTGTTGTTTCGTGTAAAATGTGAAATGTGGCTCTTGATGCTATCCTTCTTGACTGATGCTGGTTCGTGTTTAACCTTATTTTAGTCCCCACATCTTCATATTTTGAAATTAGTTCTCTAAATTTTCAGAATATTTTGAAATCAGTCCCAATTAGCAGCTGGTGAGAGAATGGTCCCAGTTTACTTAAAAGATTTGAGGGCTAAATTTATATTGACTAGTACCAAATATCAACAATTTCAAATAAGATTTGGACTAATTTCAAAATGCTTAAATTTGAGGACCAAATTCATATTTGTCTATTTCAAATAATCAAGAATTTTATCATTTCAAAACAAGAAAGATTTGAGGAAGTGAAAAAAAAAATCCAGAAATCACAAAATCCCTAATAATATCAATGAGATATCACAAGGTTATCTTACAGGATATTCTCTAAGTTGTTCAATCCTCAAGATTTATATTGTGAATAGCTCCAAACACACCATCACGCGCCCCATTCTTATACAGTTCACGCATATTTCATATTTTCCTTTTTTTTTAAAGATATAGTATCATATCTTAGTCCTGTTTCATCGCTGAATATCAATCTTTTCTAGCACCTATAAATTTTTTTTTCAGCATCCTCCCACATATCACATTACTATTTTCTTGGCTTAATACATGGCTTTGATATCAAAACAAAGGAAACTCATATCAAACACAAACAATTTTAGAGGAAGAAATACTATCCTTAACAAATTTTGCAAATTATTTTAGTTTTGCAGCATATATATTTTTCGCACAATGTTCATCAAACCTGCTCCCCAACTAATTACCACTGTAATCAAACATAAAATGCTCCCAATCTACAATTCTCTGAGCATATCTCTTCAATAAGATGATAATTGTAATCTTTTAACACCAACCACCTCAACAATGGCCTTAAAAACACCTTATTCACGAAAAATAATTTTAACCACAACTTCTATTCTCTCTTCATTGGATATAATCCTCATGATAGCTATCACTAATAACTGAAACAAACCTCTCAAGCCAAGGAAGCTGGTTGAGATCCTTAATGGCATCAAGATATGAGTCTGAGCATCTAGGAGGAGATTGAATTTGGTTATGATGATGATCATCATTGATGCCGAATCCTCCAGCGAGAAATCTTTGGATGAGAGCAAGTTGAGCTCGTTCTTGCTCAGAGTAATTGTCGGTGATTGATGGAAGAGGATCGAAAGGCTCCCATCTCCATTGGTCAGCTTCGTGGTTTGAAGGAGTGGAGGGTTCGGAGCTTTCTTGTTCATCGCCCCAGAATGTGCACTGGCATGTTTGGGTGCCAGAGTGGTATCCTGCACTGCAGGAGTAGCAGAACTCGTGCCCGCACCTAATGATGGAGAAGAAAATAGTTTATTGCCTTTTTGGCTAAATATTATATGGAAAGGTATATTTCACAAGACTATCAAAACTTTTCTACTAGAGAAAGCTGCCATTTTTTCTTTGACTAAACATTTTATCCATGAGAGGAACCCCTTTAACAACATTTTCTAAATTGTTTTCTGCCGATTTGAAGGTTTATGGTAGTTTCTCTAACAAAAAAATTTATAGTGGTTCTATGCAAAGCCCTCCAACATTCATGGTAGTTTTGTGAAGTTTACCTTATTTAAAAATCAACAAGCAGATAACATAAGAATTCCACTCATAATATGAAAATGAAACATTTCCCCCCTTAAATGAAGCCAGGTCTCCAAACATGTAAACACAAAGAAACAAAACATTGCGTGTTTGTTTGTTAGATAGAATATCTATTCCACCTCAAATATCACCATTATTTGTATATAATAGATCCTACTTCAGCTACAAATTTATACTAACCAGTTATAGGATTAGGAAAAAAAATACTAATAAGCCCCAGCCAGCTAGAATAATGTAAAGATGGTTGATGCAGATTTAGTTGCCGCCTTTATAAAAATGAAAACTGTTTGTCTTTTATAACCTTTGTCTTTCTGCATTTCCTTCAGATATTTTATTTCCCCGACAGAAGAAAAGTCTAAAAAACCAAATCATGTGATGGGAGTCCTTAAAAAGACCATGATTAAAAATGATGAAAAGCAATAGGTTACATTATTTATGGGGAGTACTTAAATGTGCTCTAGCACACATGAACTTCCTTCTAGGAGAATGACAAAACTCTTCTAGCAGATATAATCCTATACATACGAAATAAACCCACAAGCCATGAAGCGGCAAGACTCAAAATAAAGGGTATGATGATATTATCTGCTTCTTGGTAACGTAAGTTTAAAATTTAATCCGTAATATAGGCTCTGTATCTAGCTTCCAAATTAATATTGACAACACTAACATGACCGGCATCTTCCACAATGTGACAGATAATCATAAAACAAACAAGACAAATAGATAAAATTGAAATTAGACTGTGTAAAATTCAAAGTTAAAGAGTAGCATGATGAAATTTCTAAACATAAATAAATTTTGAACATACCAGCATGTTACACGGAAGCATCCTTGTGTAAGCTCAACCATCCTCCTACACTGCTGGCATCGCCTCCAGTTGTTATTTTGTGCCAAGCGGAGCAAATTAGCATCCCCGGCATCTCTCTCCTCTACGGATAAACTTTGATACTCCTCGCAACTCATTGAAGAATGCCATGGCACACCACAACTAGAGCACAAAAGCCTACAACATTCTTGACACTCAACACAATTGATCTCATACTGATTCGACGAACTTGCCCTTGAAGCTGAATGTTGTCCTGGACTAAAAAGCACTGAACAATCTGGGAAAGGACAATAGACTCTATCCAGGTTGAGAACTTTAGCTTCCATTGTGGCTCTTTCTAGTGATTGATAGCAAGAAATTGGAAGAAAGGACTTGAATGCATTTTTCGATATGTGATACTTGCATCTTACTTGGGGACATTTTATCGGAACTTGCAAAGCTTGCAATTTTCCCTCCACATGAACAATCATGCAATTTAGACAAAAACTATGGGAACATTTCAACTTAATAATTTGAGATTGTTGCTTCTCCTCACAGCAGCAGACGAGACACTGGTTAATAGATGCATCTAAAATGCCAACTGCTTCTCGGGCTAATTTCAATGGCCGCACAAGCTCAGATCTACATACTAGCTTCAGAACAAAGGCTTCGAAATCATTAGACAGTTCGAGTATCCTGTATCCTAGAGCTACTAACAGCTGGTCTTCATGTGGCACTGCTTCAGCAATCTGTCATATTATAAAGGATATCAATATCATTTATAACATACAGAACTTAGACGATTAACCGCAACAGATTACTACGAGTAAATAGGAATTTTGAGCCACAGAAGAGCGCCTGAATCGGGTATCGGTCGTGACAAACAGAAATTTTGATTTTGATGGCGGATCAGACAAGTTTTATTTATAAGAAACAACGAAACAGAACCTCACAAGAGTAAGCACATGAAACCACGCACATGCAGATAACTGAGATGAGTATTCTAATATCAACTACAAAGATCATATGCAAAATAATTTTTTTTTTGATTAAACCGCCATTTTCTCACCTGATGATAGACCTCTTCGTTATCAGTCAACGCGACGATCCTCTGAACACCGTTCCTCTGAGCCTCAATCAGGCCATCCAAGAGGGCTAGGTGCTCAGCAACCAAAACATCCACAAAGAAATCTAGCTTCTTCTGCACCTTGAAGACAGAATCGCCGCCGGACGTCTCCATGACGACTCCGATCCCAGAAGCCTTCGCTCCCAAACCCCCGCCCCCCTCGGAGACGGACACCCCCTTAAAGAAAACCCTCAACGAGACCCCGTCTTCGTCTTCGCTCTCACCCGACGACGCTCCGTCGTCGTCGTCGTCGTCGTCGGCATCTTCTTCTACTTCTTCGTCCGAGGAGAGCAGTTCAGCTAGGCATTCCTCCGTATCTTGCCACTCTTCATCCTCGCAGCAGCTTCTGAATTCTTCCTCGACGTCATCATGATGGCTACCCATTAATCTTCGGGCTAATTATACGGGACTTGTTGGGGGTTCTGTTAATCAAAATCCAGAAGAAACCCAACAGAATCGAATCACAAAATCTTCATTCCTCGTGAATGTCTCGACGGAAAGCTGCTAATTACCCAATAAAACAAAGTTGGCCTTTCAGTTCATCAGCCAAAATCAAATCTTCAAAAAAAATAATAATAAATAAACCCAGCAACCGAACTTATCCAAACCTCTCAAAATCCTCATCTCCGAGTTGAGCGGAGTTGGGATCTAGCGGAGAGCTGCACCAAACCAAAATCAGCAGCAAACCCAGAAAAATTAATTGAAAAATTAATTGATGGAATCATCAAAATTCCTCCAAAAAGAAGCCAACTTGGGTACCTGAGCTCAAAAAAGATGATTTTTTTTTTCGGTAGAAGGCTCTAATTAAGATGGATTTAAGAATTTATAGGGATTTGAAAAGAGAACCCATTTCTGTAAATAGAGAGGGGGGGAGGAATCTTTCATTGGGTTATTATTATTATTATTATTAAAAATTATATTTTGCGGAATACTTTGGTTTCTTTATTAGGTGGGGAATGAAGTAGTCATCATAAAGGAAAGAAGGAAGGAAGCATTACTGTTCTCTGAAAACGTCAGGAAAGAAAAAGGTTTTTTTTTTACTTTCACCCCTCAGAGATATAAGTATTTTATAAATACTAGGGCTGGGCATATTCGGTTCGGTTCGATTTTATGCCCAATCCGCATCCAATCCGAATTTTTCGGATTCTCAAAACTCTCATCCAGATCCAGATTTTTTTCCCTTCATCCGAATATTCGGCCCAACCAAAATTCGGTTCGGTTCGGTTCGGTTTCGGTTTTGAATTTGCAAAGAGTTCTATCCAAAGACTTCTGTTGTGAATTTGCAAGCTGGGTATTGTCCTCATGATGAGGTTCCTGAGCTCACCAACAAAGCTTTATTAGACTGGTTATCATCTTTAGAATAAAGTTTTGAGTTGATATAATTACGCAGAGAACTGATGTTTTAAAGATGTTGTTCATATAATACAGCATGTTATCTCTTGTAAGTATCATGTACATAACACATTTTGTGATTGATTTGAATCTTATGTAATTCTCAAGATCTATTCTGCGAAATTTTTTAACTAAAGTTTAAGTTTATTTAATTACACGGGGGAGTGATGTTTTGTATGATATTGTTCATATAATGTAGCATATGCATCTTTTGTAAGTGCATCATGTGCATAACAAATTTTCTGGATTGATTTGAATCTTTACTTAGTTCTCAAGGATATTTTTTGTGATATTGCTGTACTCATTGCTTGAAACTGTTCCTTGCGCCGTTTGAATCTATTGGATGATAACAGGAAAAGTTTTGAGATATAAGTTTAGTCTTTAAACCGCCCAACAGAATTCGGGTCGGTTTTTTTTTGGCGGTTCAGGGGTTCAAACCGGATCCAAACCGATTTAATTCGGTTCGGGCGATTTAGAGACTTCTTCTCATCCATTTAATTCGGTTCGATTAACCGGTCCGTTTTTTCGGGCGGTTTTTTCGGTTGAACCGTTTTTTTTTTTTGGTTTTTGCCCACCCCTAATAAATACACAATACCCCCTATTCTTCTTTGGGGTTTCCCCCTAGAAATCACTTTTAAAATAGAGTAATTATATAGAAACCATGTTTAAATTTTAATTTACATATAAATCGTATTTAAAATATTTTTTGGTTGAATGAACTATCCCTGGTCAAATTTTCACTAAAAATCAATATTATCTCGAAAACTCGCATTTAAGGTACGTGACTCATTCTTCTAGCGTATAATCCCGTTAGGACACAACTCACATAACATGAGCTTAATTTTTTTTAAGTTTATTTTGATTTTCTTAGTGAAAATTTTAACTGGGAGATGGTTGATTGCAACAAAAATCCATCTTAAAGATGATTTATATAAAAATTGAAATTGAAAGATGATTTTCATATAATTGCTCAAAATTTAAGGTGATTTCTAGGCAGAAGATATGTTCAATTTTTTAGATGATAATTTTAGTGTTGCCTAATCCCACCTAATATGATATGTGTAAAGGAAAATGATAGGGACACACCCCCAACCACATCCCAAACCACACCCCCTCTCTCGTATGCTACAGTACACCGGGTTCCACATGAGATTTTAAAATTTTAAAATCTCATGTGAGTCCCGGTGTACTGTAGCATATGAGAGAGGGGGTGTGTTTTGGGATGTGGTTGGAGGTGTGCCCCCAGTGCCACCCGTGTGTAAATGATGCCCGTCCTATCTTGTATGGTTAGGAAACTAAAATTAAGTAAGTTGGATATCAAATACCTATCATACATGTTTGAGTGTATATTTAGACGTATTATGTGTCAACGCATCGTGTTTTGTATCAACGCTTTCGTGTCCGTACATCATATTTTATAGCTATCAAACTATTGCTATATATGATAATCAAATTTAGTGTCAATTTAAGAGTTGGTGATCGGACCATTTGCCTCATTGGAAATATATTGTAGGTGTTGTAAATCATATCATATCATATTCTCTTTAAAAAAGAAAGTTGTGAAAAAACCTTTCAAGAACTATATTATCTCTATTCTTTGTTGATATTACATTCTAATACTAACTAAACTAAATTAATTGTCATTGTTAATTAATTACATTATATGTCACTTTAAGTTTGTATAATTTGGTCCCTAAAACTTCCAACGCTATTGTAAAACTCTACATCGTTTCAATTATTAGTAATGTAAAATAATATATTAATAGATAATTGCATGTTAATAAAGTATTTATGGAAAGAGTAGAAAATATAGAATTGTCCTAAAATTGTACCATGAAACTCATATAGGAAAATTACAAAGAGCATTCTTATGTTTATGTAAGAGGACAGAATGTAAAAACATTATATTTTGGAAAACATTAGGATATTTAAGTGCAGCAAGCTAGATATGTTATCAAAAATTTTAAAAATGTGCAACAAGATACAAGTGGAGGTATATAAATATAATTGTTGTAAACTATAAAAGATTTAAGTTCAATTAAGCCTATAAAAGATTTAAAACCTTTGTTATCCATAAACAATAATATATGAACCCATTGATAAATAATATTCATCATACAATATGAGGCCAAATGGTTAGCTTATATTTATATAGTAGAGGAGATGCTGAAAAATTAAAGCATCATATTTTGAATGAGTCTCAAGATTTTGAATTATTTCCTAAAATTATATACTTCGCTTAAAAAACTTTAGAAGAGGCTTCTGAAGGACTACTACAAAGGGTTGGACATCAGATAAATATTAAACAAATAAAATTCATGATATCAGATTGTAAAATTCATGGATGTCTATGTAATATTGGGTGTCATATGAGATAATATTCTACATAACATTTTTTTTTGATCAAAAAACAAGGGATATACCCTGTCATATGTATTAAAGATAAAAGTGTTTAATTACAAAAGTTTGGATACGAATTGTATCCTGATGTTAGGTAACAGTAAGATTAGTTCACAGTAACTAGGGATGTATAACCTTCTTCTCTCAAGGATCCATGAAGATGAAGAAAGGGCCTTGCCGTCATTCACCGTTGACATAGATACAAGAGAGAACCAAAGCCAGCTATACATATAGTTATTTGAACTAAAAGTTATTTGAACTAAAATACTGATGTCTAACATACTACAGAAGGTTTAAAAGCCAAAAATACAAAATATACAAAAAATATCTCCCAGAAGTACATCCCAGAAGTACAAAATATACAAAAAATATTCATACATAACATGACATTGTAATATGTAATCTAACATATTAATGAATTTTAAATATAATAATTTGCATCAAGAAATACGCTTAAGATTTGGGAGAGCCGAGAGTGGAGAGATTTGGAGAAGAATTGTGGCATTTGTGGGTTTTGTAGGTTTCAATTTTATTTCCCAAACACGATCCAAACTCGAGTCCACAATCAAATTAAAAATGATATGATTTTCTCAATATCTTCAAATAGATATATTGGCCATATTTTCGATAACGGTCGATATATCAAAAAAATCACCAAACAAAAGAAAACAATAAGAAATATTACTGAGATAAAGTCTTTAACCCGATATATTGGCCGATATAGCAATATATCGGCAAATATTTCATAGGATACCTATAAGAGCAAATATGTAAATGTTAGTTCCTTGATTTTAAATATACAATGATTTTATGTTATTCCCTAAAATGTTTTAAATTGCTCATAATTTAGGGACTAATATTAAATTATTAAAATTTTTTGATTTTGTTTGACATTGGATAGATATGAATTATTTTGTTAAAATACAATCAATATGAGTGCATAATATGTATAAATTTTTCTCAGACTATATTTATAATTTTTTAAAACTAGAGAGTATTCATTTTGATAGATCAATTAGTAGTTGGGAAGATGTAAAAAGTGTACAACAACAGATTTTAAAATTGATCATATAATTTATATTTTCTTTCTTGATTGAATTTTCACATTATAACTTAGAGAATTCTAGAAAAAAAATTCTTGAATATCTGTAATACTTGGTCGCCTGATAAACAATAGGTGGAAGTGATTTTTTCATAACCGAACAAAATCCTTACTAACTAGATAAAGCCTATCATTTTTCTTTGATGAATTCAAGAATTTATTTTTATTAATAATTATAGGTTTTTTCGTATTGGTCCCTTACATCATTAATATTTTAAAATTATACATTCAAATTAGTAATTAATCTTAAATCGTTAATATTTTAAGGTTTTAAACATTCACTATTTTTTTGGAAGACAAAAATGTTAAAACCACACATGGAAATATCCAAAAAATTAATATATTATGATATTTATAAAGTTTTTTGTAACCATATTATAGTAAATAAATAAATCTAAAAAATAATTATGATATTTGATCACGTGCAGTGCACGTGCATTCCACCTAGTATAAATAAAATGAATGTGGATATTACTAGAAGAAGTCTCTTCACCTACTTGTGACTTTTAGTATTCTCTTTCGCATCTATATAATGTAAGCATTGAAGACAAACTGTATGGAGAAATGAAGATGAATAAAATGAGATGATCACTTTCTCCCTATCTCTTCTCTTCTTTATTTATTTACTCTTACATTTCATGTTCGATTCTTACTTATGATATGTGATGTATGTAGATATAACAATAAGATTACAACAATAGATTTTTTTTTAAATAATTATTTTTATCTAAGGTAAAGAGGTAAAATTTTGAAATAGGCATGGATAAAAGCCATCATGCGTCGTCGAGTACGAACCAAGAGCCCCCCCCCCCAAAAGGGGACATGCTATGAAATCATTTTTACAATGTTTGTCCCCCACTATTAAGTTGTGTTAGATTTATGGCGGTTGAATGAATGTACCTACAACATTCAATTTGTTTTATGGAAGTGTCATTTACCGAATGGATTTCTAGTATAAGAGAGACTCTATTCTTTTTCGAAATATTGAATTTACAGGGTCTCCTAATACCAGTGTGCACCCCGTACAATGCATGACCCCATTTTTTTTATTTCTGTTCCAGTAATTCGGTATTTTTTGTAAATGCTACAATAATTATTTTTAAAAAGACAGTGTTCTGCTTGTGTTACGGTGGTATTGCCGTAATAATTCACTGTATCATTTACTACAGCATGAATAACGAACATTTGGATCCTCCTGTAAGTACAGAGGAGTAGATAAGAGAGGAAATAATTACCAATTAAATTGTTCATGAGAGAGAGAGAGATGATAGGTTGGGAAAGGTGTTTGGAAGAAGCCAAATCGATGGCATCTGATAATGAGTCATGACTTTGAAAGAAAAGGATTGAGTATTGGAGAGGGAAGGATCTCAAAGTCACAAGATATGGGAAAAGTGACGTAGGCTTTATAGATTCTTAATTAGTTTATCGTGGCTAAGCCATGATTAGTCCCTTATCTTCTCATTCTTTTTCAGTTTCCCTCGCTTTAATTTATCTTTTCGGTGCCCCACCCAACTCGCCCAACTTTGGCCTTTCTCACTTGTAAATATTACATCGTATGATGTCTATAATCTTTTTTTTTAATAAAGTGATACTAAGTGAAACTCCAATTAATATCCACTTCTAAAGATGAAATGTCGTATGCTAATTAAGACAAACTCATTGGTAAACCAACCATGAACAATCAAGAGGACTAGGGGCTGTTTGTTTGGCAAAAATGACGAAGAGAAATAGATTTCTTATGCTGACAATATGACGGTGGGAAATCTAAGTTCAAAAAGATATTCTATTCCTCAGTTTGGTTCAACACAAGATTTAACGAATTGAGTTGGAGAAATTACCGGCCGACTCAGATTTAAGGAAATCGCCCATTTCCGAGCTTTGAGTTTGGAAATGGGATGAAAAAGGATTAAACAATTACTGTTTTTTCTATTCTAGTGATGGGTAGGTGGGGTTTCCTATTATTAGCTAGTTTCTTTTTTTTAGTTGTGAAACAAACAATGGAGATGTGAGGAGATTTATTTCCCACCCTGTTTTGTGATGAACCAAACAATTTTTTAGAAACCTTTAAAGACACATGAAAAACAATATCTATACTTAGAAATAAGTTTCCTATAATTAATCAGGGAACCAACTAAACAACCCGTAAACTAAAATTTACATATAGAATTAGAGAGGCGCTACAGGCACACGCTAAGGCACACCACCAACCACACACCCTCTCTCTCTACAGTGCCGGGGGCCCCACATGTGATTTAAAAAAAAAAAATCACATGTGTGGCCTCCTGCACTGTAAAGAGAGAGAGAGTGTGGTTGATGGTGTGCCTTAGAGTGTGCCTCTATCATTTCTTATAGAATTAATAGGACGGCCCAGTAGGTCACGTGACAAATCCTTGTCACTCCCTTGTAAGAGGCTTGAGTTCGATTCTTGTGTGCGCCAAAAAACGGATAAATAATAATAATAATAAAAAAAGGTCCGCATGCCTCAATTTTCAAAGTGCGGTTAGTCTGTGAGTCCACCACACCGGCTCCCTTGGTAGTTGGTGAACCACTGGTACCTATTATTCCCCTTTTCCTAACTGTTTGACGAGGGGGTCCCCCTCAAATTTTACAACAATTTATGATATCACATCCATCAAATGTACAAGTTTCGGGTAAACTATGTATCATAATTTTTTGAGCAAAACTATCATAAACATTCCTTAAAATAACCTATCATAACTTTTTTTTTATTAGAGAAAAATGTCACGAACTTTCAAATGAATAAAAAAAATCGCATATTATCTGAAAAGAATATGGAAATACCTCCGGTATATGATATTTATATCATAATAACGTAGAATTCAAGATAGTTTAAGGAATCTATTCTGAAAATTTATGTTTTAAATTTAAGAAACTCTTCTTCATTTTAAGAGAACATAAGGGCTTTTTTTTTTCCTTCTTAAAAATTATAATTGATCGTGTCCTATTGACAAGTTGATATCATATTTTGGATCCTTAAATCATTTTCTATTTTTAAGAGTTATAATTTCGTCATATTTCGAAAACCTCGGAAAAAAAACTGTTGAAAGACAATAAATTCTCTCAGTCTCAAGTTCTTATTTAATTTTGGAATATTTTGATTTAATTTTGAGGATTTTGTGGGAGTTTGGAGCACATGGATGCGGTGATTGGAAACCGTGTGGGGGCTCACCAGCTTAGACTTTTTTCTTTTTGTCACCTTGCTCTCTTTCTATCAAATACCATGAATTTGAGACTTCGGAAATTTGAAAAGGAATCATTGCACGTGGTAAATTTATTAATGGAAATTCCTCATTTAGAAAATAATAAAAAACATTTTCTAGGAGTCCAAAATTTTTCAACAAGGATGAAGGGATCATTCGGTGGCTTTTGTTGCGTAGCCTAATAATTCAAAGGTTTGCGCTTTGTGGGTCCCATCTAGGTCTATATAAGAAGTATTTAAGGCAGTATAATTTTATTTTTAGCAGTGTTTGATGTAGAACAGAAGGGTTGGAATTCGTAAACACGTATCATTAATAGATTGATTGCATATTATTATTAAAAAAAAAAAGAGAACATATGGTGGATTAGGATTCAGATTCTCTTATTTGTAATAATAGCATTTTTGGTTAACCAAATTGCATAAAGTTTTGTCTTAGGCTTTGTTGTTTGTTCTTGTTGGTTCGTGATTGTTCTTTGAAGATAAACCTTTATTTTCATTTTTGCTCATTTGGTGAAGCAATTAAAATTGGCCATGTTTTTCATGATGAAATAATTAAGCAGGAGTTTGAATCGTAACTTTCAAAAATAAGTAGCAGGCTAATAATTATCACTATCATGATATACGATGTGTGATATTCGTGATGATATAGTTATTAGCATGTGTTTTAAAATTTGTTAAATCAAAACTCAAAATCATGTACATTCAGATTTTTAACAAATTCTTTTGCATGTTTTTTCTAAAGGTTTTTTGTTTTAGATGAAACCACCGCAAAATATAGTGATACTTCGGGGAGCTACCACTATTGTATCGTAGAAATGATCAAGTGTTAATTCCACTCTAGGGGTTGACACGTGCCCTGAATTAATTATGCATCATATCGACTTGGCCCTGTGCAGGATGAGTCAAGTGACGTCATCACTCGACCCTTCCTAAGAATGACCGAGTCGAAAGGCGCCCTCACTCGGACCATGCTGTTAAGGTCGACTCCACGCCCCTTCATTTTGCAAGACTGAGTCGAGAAGCTCTCAATCCAAAATGGCATGATCAAAAGGCGTCTTTTATCGACCCTCTCGCAAGGCTGAGATGAAAGATGGTCATTCTCCAACCCATGCTAACATCCGATCACTATCACATTTAATGCGTGGATGGATTCATCATTACTTCGACCCCAAAAGTCTTAATAATTTATCAGACCTCATCAACAACTTACTTCCCTTGTCACCCTCGCATTAGTCACAAAAGTGACTCACACTATCTGCAACCAACAACTGTAAAGTATTAGTCGAACAAGCTGACTACTTGGATTCAGACAAAGTTATCAAATTGTCATCCTGAATCTGCTATAAATAGGTGCATTTGACTATTTATAGCAGATTTTCTCATTAATGTTGTGCAGGGAAGAACAATTTGCCTATGAACCAGACATTCAGAGAGTTAGAGGACCTCCGTCAATTTGATCACTCTCATTATTTGACTGTGTGATTTCAAACATCAACAATACTTAAGCTAAAGTATAACTAGGGATTTAACTCAAATTTTTTTTGAAGTATTATCCTAGATTTTCTCATTAATGTTCTTTGCATAGGATGGTCTCACATATCATCTAAGGAATTAGCATGGTACAGCAATATGAGAAGTTCATTGTGATATAAACAACAACAAGCAACACGGTATTAAATCAGTCACTACAACAAAAGTTGTATATATCTACATTTATTTTATAACACATATAAAAGTATCATTTTATTTGCAAATGACTAAATAATAGTGACATAAATAAAAAAAGTAACAAATCACAACACATATTTGTGTTATTAGATATATAATTAAATATAATAAAAAAAGACTAATAGTCCAATATGGATATATGGATTATGAAAGGATCTGTTAATGGGTTTAAACCTTACATTTTAATTACGATGATGATTAAATATTTACGATAGTATATAAGATAAAAAATTCTACAAATAAGTGTGCTTTGGTGAGAGTAATCCTAGGATAGGTAACCTTCTGCAAAGTTATAGTGTTGAATGATAATATTCTTTATATTTTTATGGTCTAAACACAACTATGCGTCATTACTCTTGATACGCATGTGTCACGAATTTCATGATACATGTATGTGTCATCATACATGCATCATGAGTTTTGAGACACATTTTCACATGTGTAGAAAATCGCTCTCCACACACGCTCTAACCACACTTTTGGTATATGTCGCGCTGCATTTGTGCGACACAAATACGTCGCGTTGGGATAAAAAAAATGTATCATAACTAACAATTTTTGGTGTAATAAGTAGAGTACATAATCCATGCTCTCTGAGCATGAAAAAACAATCCAAGTCCCTTCTTACTAACAAATATTCATACAGCTACAAAGATCTCTTTTTGCAAGCAAATCATCGTGTTTTTTCCCCTATTTAGCAGGGAATAAACTGAGAAAGGAGAGCGAGCGCAGGAAAACAAAGAACAATGAAAAAACTGTCACACACAATAAACATGTTCTTTCTGCAGGACATAACCACATATTGGACAAAAAATATACAAAGGTAGTACATACAAAATGAACACATACGGTATGAAGTATACGAGTAACTATACCCTCCTATAAAAGCCAGTGCTTTCTCTTAGGTAGGCGATACCCTTCACGGAAAGTAAAAAAGAAAAAAAATGTCATACACAATAAAACATGTTTCTTTCTACAGGACTTAAAGCACATATTGGCCAAAAATATACAACAGCACAAATGAACATATACTGTATGGGGTAAGTAAATGAATAACTGTACTGTCCTAGAAAAGCCAGTGCTTTCTCTTAGCTACCCGAGTCGGAAGATCTGCCAATAAAAGACATTAATAAAAAATTTTAATTTATGTACGAGGTATACAAATACCGATGGTTGAAGAAAAAAGTTGGAATTTTTACCATCGGCTCCATACAGAGAGTTGTAGTGCACTTCACTCCAGAAGCTCAGCCAGAGCTCTATATCACATGATCAAGACGGACAATTTCAATCAGGAAAATGTATTAGATCTACATCTTTAAAAAAAAAGTCTTTACTTTTAATCATTCCTATTTTTTGTTTTAAAAAAAGAACAAAATTAAAAATGTTTTTTTTAAAATTATTGTAGATATTATTTCAGTTTAAGATTCAGAACACGAAATAAATATGTGCAACTCTACGTTTTGGGAAATTTACAGCTCTGCTTATAAAAGGACAAAATAAAAAGAAAACACAAATTGTCAACTATTTTCTAAGAGCGCATACATTACCTCTTGAAGGATTTTTATCCTTGGGCACAATTTCGATGAGGATTGTATCTCTAAATGATGTAAGCAGGCAAATCTTGGCACCGAACTGTAACCATAAATCAGTATGATAAACTATAATCAGCAAGATCCTAAAAAAACTATTAAAACTTTGTTCTGTTCCTGCTTTTCCTTTTTTCTTCTTAACTTTTTTGCTTTATTAAACTTTTCCTTCTTTTCTTAATTTCTCTCTCTTCAAAGTCCAAGGTCCAAACTTGAGTACAAATGCTTCAACATTCTTCAAAAGTCAAGCTTTTAAACTAGGCCATATAATTGACATATCAAACTTCAGAATATTTATATCTACAAAAATTTGATTCTAATGTCTAGACAAAAAAAAAAAAACATTGATCCTAAAGAAAAACTGAACAAAATAACCCAGGAGGAAACGAGAAACCAATTCTTACTTAAAAGCTTTCGATGGGAGGATCAAAATGCAAAAAACCAACTTCAAATTGAAAAGCAATGTTACCCGATCGGCAGCTGCCTGTAATGTTAGATGATCTCCCCATTCCCCAGACCTAAAATCATATGGATCGGCAAAAATAAATAAAACTTTTAAGCTTCCATTCTAAAAAAATCGCATTAAACAGGAAGTGTAGCAACAAGCATAAGGGCAAACCTTTTCATATTCTTCAGGTAACTTTTGTAATTCATTGGAACATAGCTTTCATAAAATTCCTGGAAATGCTTTAGCTGAAAACAGAATTAATATATCATGAAATCATGAATTAAATCTGCGCTGGAGAAGGAAACTAACATGTATTTGTGAACAAACACGCTACACCGTCAAAATAAGATCATATTCATTCAAAATTAATTAAAAAGAGAGGACACTACTATTACCAGAAAAGTACCTGTTTTATTACTGCTTTCCTAACATGTTTGTGATAGTCAGGATTCCGGAACAATTGATCGGCTAAAGCTCGAAACTGATGTATCACAGCAATGAAGGCAAAAGAAAAACAAAATTAACAATATTGATTAGTGGTAACAAATTGCACTAATCTCCTTTCTTTCTTTTCTTCTCTCCATCCCTTTTTCTGTTTGTTTGGCAAGTACATTTTTTTCAAGACACAAACCTGACAATTCCCATCTCCTTCAACTTGTAATTCAGCTAATCCATATGTGGCAAGCCTGATCATGAAATTCCATGTAAAACTATAAGAACATAGTGTCCTTAATCTCAAGAGAATAATCAAATTACAGATATGCATACGAGATTACCCAAAAAAGTGATGGGTTCAGAAAGAATTTGGAGAAAATTGGTGAGAGAGGGTAGTCTGGGATTACTTAGTAGGGATGTTTTTTTTTGGATGAGTGGCTTCTTTTTTCACGAATGAGCAAGTAAAGTTAAGCTTGTTATCAATTAAATTACAATTTCAAGAGCCTTTTTATGTCAAAGAGCCTTTTTTGGGGGTAACCTATGCGTTTTCACTAGTGGAAGGGTTTGTAACAAAGAAACCAACTTAAAAAATTGTAGAATTGAACTCAAAATCACAGTTTTTCGAACACAACTGACTCCGATTGAATTACACTCAAATGGGTAATCTAATAACTAATTTCGTGATTATGGCTTGAAACATTAATGGTGAAGAAGTACTAGGGAACAACTACTAAATCAGTTCAGTGACATTAATGGTGAAGAAGGATGGACAAATTGATTCTTCAAAATTTTGTTTTTGTCTAATTGAATTATTGAAAATTAGGTGTAATATAAAAACTTGATCAGAATGCACTTAGTTATGAGCGTAACGGTAATTAATTTAGTCTTGGCGTTAATAACAAACTAAAAATAAAAGTAAAAAAGAAGCGGTGATTATCCAATAATCCCAGAAAAACTTAAATGAGAACCAAACCTTATTTTTTGGAATGATTTGTGAGACAACCTAATGTTGAGAATAATTACTAACAAAGAAAATTCATCCAAGAAACAATAAAAAATGAGTTCTTTGTTCCTTGGATTAATTTTTTCTATATAAAACTCATCCAATCAACAAATATAAGATAAACCAACGGAAATTTCTAAGAAAAAAGATTTGGTTAGATCATGACACCCATTCATAACTTGTCCTGTCTTAATTTCCTAAGGAGAAGACGAAAAGGACTAATTAATGTCTTGTATTAAAGATTGAGGATATTTTCTTCTCTAGTAGTTTCAGCGGATCTGTTTACCAATGATGTTTGTCAATAATCAAATCACCTGGAAACATAATTTGCCTTCTCAAGTTGAGATGAAGATTTATGATGGATATGTTTATTTTCTCTTTGACAAGAGATTATCTTCATTTGTGTTGTTTGATGGGAAACATGGCGCCGGGACTTCATTCAAATCAGTCTTCTGAAAACTTAAATGCTGCTGATTGTGCCACTGAATTAATAAAGCGGTTATGCAAATTGTCTTCGAGCAATCTGATGATGCAGGTGCACCTACAAGCCTATTTCTACTAAGGTATATTTAAGTTTTAGCTCTTGTTTTCCTTCTAAAACTAGGGACTGTCAAGGGGATTTCATGATTCCCCTCTGCAATCTCCTCTTAACCGCCAACATCATCTCCAAAAGTTTCACCACTATTGATCCTCAACCACTATCACACATCAGTATTTTCAACTCTGGTTTCCTCCAAAATGATGGCAACGCTAACCGCTTCTATTCACACTCTCGATGATATCCTGTTCTCGCATGCAAGCTCATCGACCTCTTCATATCATATGCAGTTTATTGACCTCTTATTGCATGCAAGCTCAACAAGTTTATATTCACATGCAAATCCCACAACCTCATCTTCATGCATAGTCCCGTCGATCTCCTCACATGTAGTCTTACTGACCTTTTTTCTTCCATAGTTTTATCAGCTTCTCTCTTGCATGCAATTTCATTGGCTTCCTTTTCTAGCGTAGTAATCTACAAGTTATCCATGTTTTCTACCATAAACACTTTCGTGGTTTTCACATTGACAGAATAAAAAACCTGCTGGAAGATTCCATACTTCCTCTCCAAATTTCTGGACGATTCCACACTTCCTGTCCAAATTTCTGATTCAATCTCATGAAAGATATTGTATAACTCGATCAATGATCGTCAATTGACAATCTATTAATGACTTCTCAAACTTGCCAGAAGTAACCCTCAATATAGTTCTCACGTAGAGGAAAAACATGAGATCTGTCTAGGTAACGTAATGGTTCGCGGTATAAAAGAAACAATTTTCCCTTTTTCAGATCTGAATTTTCTTGAAATGATATAGAAGGAACATAGTTCCATCTTAGATAAAAAGCACTTATCCACCTTTCAAAAGTTTCATGCACATGAACATTGCATACAAGACAGTAAACTTCAACAACTTCGGTATTTGACCTTAAAAAATTTCATGCACATGAAGAACTTTGCATACAAGATAGTACACTTCACACTTCAATATTCTTTAGCATAAATAGGCTTGTGTATGCACCTGCATAATCAAGTTGCTCGAGTTGACAATTACCTTAATTTCTCTAACAATGCAGTAGCATATTTCATAGCATTAAAATTTTCAGAAGTCTAATATGGATTAAGCCCAACAATGATTTTACTATTAATCAACGTATATGAGGATAATCTCTTATTGCAGAGAAAATAAACATATCCACCATGAATGTTCGTCTCAACTTGATAAGACAAGTTATATCTCCAAAAGACACTATCAGCAAGCATCACTATTCTTAGTAAAAAAAATATCCATTGAAATTTCGAGACGAAAGGTCCACAATCCTTAATACAAGACACTAATCAACCCCTTTCTTCTTCTTGGGAAACCCGATCGAGACCTTGGGGAAGAGGCTCACCATTATGTTGACCAACTCCTTAAATTTCTTATCGAGATATAGACGTAGCTACTTGGCACTGAATATCGCAAGATAGAAGTAGTTGCTTAGATTGTTCACCATTTTCATAAGCTTTTCTGCAATGTAAATCATTGCAGGCTCGAAAGGGAGAAAAAGATCTTTCCGTGTTAAGAATCTTGAAGAGCAGAACATGTGATTGTAAGGTTATTCATGTGCCATAAATTTCTGAAGGTGAATGGATGTTTGCCATTCAGGATGGAACTGGTGCTCCTCCTATAACATGTCAAACAAATTTAGACCTGGGAAAGGAAAAGTTGTGTTCTTTGTACCATGAACCATCATGTTTACCAAGACCTTATGCTTATTTCCATGTGTGGAAAATATATTGAGGGTAGCTACTGGCAAATTTTTTGAAGATACTGACCAATTGCCAGTTGATGACCACCGGGTCAAATTATACATTGTTCTCTTCTAAGATTGAACCAGAAATTTAGATAAGAGTTATTGATTCATCTAGCAGGATTTTTAGGTTTTTGATTTTGGGAGGCAGTGTGGGGGCAGAACTCTTGAAGCTGGATAGTTGTTGAGAAGAGGCCGGACATTGAAGCCAAATAGCCAAGAGATGGTTGACGATTACTATACATGGTGAACAGAACTGGCAATCACTGTTCATGGAGAAGTGTATCAACAAGAGGCCAGATGTTGAAGCCAAATAGACGCGAGATGGTTGACGATTACTATACATGGTGAACAGAAATGGCAATCACTGTTCATGGAGAAGTGTATCAACAAGAGGCCGGACGTTGAAGCCAAATAGCCGCGAGATGGTTGACGATTACTATACATGGTGAACAGAACTGGCAATCACTGTTCATGGAGAAGTGCATCAACAGTAGCTGTTCATCATTGAATAGTACTCAGGTTATTGTACATTGGTGAACACTGACCTACGTTAGTGTTCATTGGTGAAGAGTACCATGGTGGAGGCTTTCACAATGAGGTTTTCCATCGCAAGGATTTTTCTAATTTGTCTTGCTCTAATGCCACGTGGAGAAAGAGAAAACATATAGATATATTATTCATTTATTCATGAGCCATACCAATCCGCCTATATTTACAGATTATAGGTTGTGTAGGTTGAGTAGAAAGAAACAAATATACAAGTTAATATATGGGAACAAAATAAGCCAAACTAGTCTAATACTTATTCTGACATTTTAAAACCTCAAGGGTCTCTCTATAAGGATATTTGGCCAAAAAACTAGAGTACAGTAGAGAAGGTTGGATGTGTCAGATTTTAAATATCTTAAGGGTACTTTTGTCAATCTTGAAAACCTGTGATTAACCTAATCACCAGTAAAGGAGTTACGCCTTTTATCATAAGCACTCCATTTTCTTTATATTCATTGCACTGTGCTATCTATAACATTCATTCTTTAGCTTACATGCAATTATCATTACATTTTATCACTGTTTCCGTCATTACCTTGCTGATGTACTGATTTTAACTACACTAAGTTCGAGGATGCACTAGGAAAACATCATGCTTTCTACTAAATGACAATACAGGAAACATAACATAATCGTTAGTTTTCATATTATTACCTTTCTGTCAGCCTTTCATGATCTAAAGTTGCATTATCAACATCCGGAATTTCACCATTAACTCGAGGAGTGTGCTGTCAGTTGATATATACAAGCTGAAATTAGTATACAGTACACTGTACGCTATTTCCTTGCCGGATCTAAAAATAATAATAGTAAAGCAAGACTCTTCCAATGAAGCAAAGGATAATCACGAACATGAATATATAATATATATGGCTAACATGAAACCCAGAAAAAAAAGAGACAGAAAGTGATGATTACTAATACAGTATATCTAAGAGCACGAGCACAACGCTCCATGAAGAGATGGGATCACATAACTAAACAAATTAAACTGAACTCATTTTTTATCATCACCTATACCTTTCATTCCTTTTCTAGTCAATACGGTGCATGGGAGCATGAGCCTAATCAAAAAGGCTATTCAAAAGATCAAGCAAAACCAACCGTACCCTAACTCTGTGTGAAGTTCCAAACTGAAGGAAGCTATGGGCAAGTGATGCAATTCCCATAAAACCTAAAGTCCTAATCAGATTGTGGTGAAGAATTTCCCTTATCGGGAGGCAACTAAGATAATGCAAAAGAACGTATCATAAAGTAAGAAACTAAAAGATTAAGAAAGACGCTGTGAGCCATAAAAATTATTCTAAGAAACTGAATTCCTTTATCTTTCTTTTTCTTGATTTTCTTTGGTTATGCGGAATAAGGCAAAAAGAAAGGTAGTCTATTCGGGACTAAAATGATTTTAAACAAGCCAAAAGTTTGGATTGGATGGATATCCATTTGAAATGTAACCATAATTTCCTTATGAGAATAACACCGGACTGATACATTCAATTCCTTCACCGTCAATCATATGAAAAGCACAATTCCAATTGACAAATTGCAGGAACTACAATTAAACTATCTAATCTAAGTAGCAATCATTGAATTATCAATCAAAAACCAGATATTTGATGCTATGATGCACATTACTGAGTCAGGTTAGCTAAGATTATGAATAACAGGAGTAAAAGGTATCAAAGAGATACGTAGCATGTGTTTTTCATTTGTTCCATTACTTCCACAATTTTAGTTAACTCTATTCATGCACACACAATTCAATCCCATCAAAGTATTAGGTTAAACATGCATTCAACGTTGAGAATGTGTTTCCTAGAGGGAAATCATAGAACTGTTTGCATCAACCATCTTTACCATTAGCAAAACCTAATTAAAGCACTAGGAATTAGGAAACCAATTTGACACAATTTTAGAAGAAGGTAATATATCGATAAAAATCAATAAGATTATTAGAACATAAGAAGCATAGATAGGCATACATTTACTAACACAATGCTAAACTAAATGAAACCTATTGTATTTTAACATTAACATCATTTGTCTGTTTAATGTATAGGCCATACCGGAATTGAATCCAAATGTGATAAACGCTTCCCAAGACTTCTATCAACTCTGTGATTTTCTTCTGCTAATATGCTTCCAATAGTCAAGTCTTCCTCATTATCCGGGATTGTGCTACTTACACTTGAGCTGGAGCTTTCACGAACATAATCGGGTTGCTCAGACATGATACCTTAATGAAAGCATTTGGATGATAAAACCAAAGTTGCAGCATACCACAAGATCTGCACAGTTAGAGAATGAATTGCTTAACAAGGAAAAGGAATAAAATTGATATGATACAAGCAAAGGAGACAACTTCACTTACAAATATAAATAAATCAGTAGTAAATATGCATGCAAATCAATTTGATTATTCTATCGAGATAACACTTGGTTAGAATTGAAACACAAACAAGTTGGAATTCATCAAGAGCTGCTAAATTATAATCATCATTTGCACTTTAGTATCCTAAAGCATACACATTTTCAACTTTTAACACTCCAGAATTTTTTCTCAACACTTTAATACCCTAAAGTTAACATCTTTTTTACTTTGATACTCAAAAGTTCTTTTTCTGACATTTTGATACCACAAAGTTTACACCTTTTTTACTTTGATACATCAAACTTTTATTTTTGACATTCAGATACCACAAAGTTTGGGAAGTTTGGCATATCAAAGGTGAGAAAATGTGAACATTTAGGTATCTAAGTTGCAAAATGAGTAGAATATGGGGCAGGAAGAAACTTTAGGTATCAAAAGGAGAAATTTTCAAAACAGTCTCATTCCCTAATTTATTCCCAAAATTCGGCCCATTTCACTTTTATTTAGTGAAATCGACCCAATTTCTGGCCACATCAGCACCATGGCCAGAAACTGGGTCATTTAAAAAAAATGAACTTCTGATTAGTCGGGGTTGCAGCTCTAAGGGGTTGCCAACCAAAATGATCAGGGTTGCTAACCCCGACTATTTGGGGGACTAATTTCAAAAGTCTCCACCAAATAGTCGGGGTTGCCAGCCCCCACTATTTGGGAGCCGGCCAATTTGGAGCTCAAAATTGGCCAACCGTGACCAATTTGGCACGCAAAAAATTATCGGGTTGCCAATCCCGACCAAAATTGCCAGGTTTGGCAACCCCGCCAATTTTTTGCAGAGATTTGAATCGGGGTCTCGAGCACATGCTGACAACCCGACTAATTAAGCAACGCGTTTTTTTAGAAATCGACCCAGTTTCTGGCCACGAATCTGTCGTGGTAGAAACTGGGTCGATTTCGCTAATAAAAAAGAGATAGGGTCGATTTTTGTGATAAAATGTGGTAGTGAGTCTATATTAAATATTTCTCCAGTATCAAAATTATAAACAGTGTGAACTTTGGGAAATCCAAGTGTCAAAAATAAATTTTTGGGTAAAAAAGAAGTAAACTTTAGGGTGCCAAACTGCAATAACAATAAAGTTCTCATATCATAGAGATCAAGTTACCCAATTCTCTATAACAAAACTGCATACATCTAAACTGAGATGAAGCTAGGATCATGCGAATTCATAACCATAACCCCATGAAAATCAATTATATATCTCAATTAAGAAAACCTATCAAAATCTATACTAAGATTTCAGCAAGGGCGATGAAAACTTAAGAAGAAGATCCATGTCTCTATTGACCTCAAAACATCAAGATCTCATCAAAAGAACTTGTTTAAGACAAATAAAAAACCAATTCGAATGGAATTAAGAGTAAAAAGAAAAAGAATCTTACTAAAAGTGTTCGTTTTTTTAGATAATTTTTTTTTCCCTTTTTCCTTCAACAACAAAGCATCGATAATCTTCAACACAAATCTCAGGAATCGTTGTCCTGTGAGCTGCAGTGTCTTCATCTTTAATTAAGGTTATGGTTCGGTACTGGGTCGGGTTCGATCGGATCTGACCTTTTCGTATAGGACCCGTTAATGTGTGATCTACAGCTCAGCCGGTCCTATTTGTAATTGGCTTTTGTCATATAGATCCTAGATTCTTTCTTAAGCATTGCATTTTGAGCATGTCTCTCTCTAAGGTTTAATATATTTAATTTGATTATTTTATGCTTAAAAATAGAAATTATATCTACTACTCTATACTTAAAAGAAGATCCAAAAATTTACTATTTGTAATACAGCAAAATAATATACTATAAACAGTAAATTTAGTCCTCTATATTCTAAGGAGGATCCAAAGATTTATTTTTTATGCTGCAGTAATTCAGTATTTACTGTAGCATGAACATGAACAATATATTTTTTGGATACTCCTTTGAATATAGAGAAGTAGATCGGACCTATGATATAATCACATTTCTGATTTACACTCCGAAATCTAATAGGGTTTTCTAAACAACTTACTGGCTTGATTCTGCCCATATTCTTACCATAGTATAGTAAACTCTTGGGATTAATTTTTTCCAATGATTTATTGATAAACACTTGGAATCAATTATGTTATTAGAAATCCATTTGGGAACTCACCCAAGTTGCTCTAAGCAAATTACAAATCACCATGAGCACACTTCAAATATATGGAACAAATTGGAAAAGTTGCAGTTTTCAGACCCTATGACAGTATGACTATATATTTTCACTATTCCAACTTTGTGCAATACATAGTTACAGGGTTGTAAATTTTTACATGGGATTTCCCCCCCTCCAACAAGAGCAAGATAATTTGCAGTCTGTTTGCTATTGGGAGAACTACAAATTGTTTTGCTTCACAACTTCAATACATCATAATAGATCAATATCTAGAAGATCTCCGCAATTGAGTAAATTATGCTTGGTCAAGATATCCAGATTTGTGCTTGCAGGAGCTTCTCCGTTACAGAGACGCGTACAGATATTCAACATTTCAGAAATCCTTCAACATTTCAGAAAACTTGCTACAGTTCATAGGTGTCCCAGGCTAACGAGCTCAACGTCAAAGATGAGAGTACCGAGAGTAGAGCCTTCCCCATTAGCCAGACGAGTTGGATTGAAAATTGTGGTGAACAATCTCTGGCGATCAAAGAACTGCAAATGACAGAAGAAACGCCGAAGGACAAATTAACCCATTAATCATAGTTGCCAAAACAGTCTATAGAACTCCACTATATGCTTGGCCTTAAAAGAAATTTGGAAGGAAAGGTGAAGAGAGCATGCGTACATTAGGAGGTATAGGCTCTTGTGATGTGTTCTGATATCCTTGTGATGGCGGAATAATGACACGACGAATGCCTCCCGCCTTCATTGACTTCACTGCGGCTTCAATGCCTGAAATAACCTGCAGAATTTACAAAGAACGCAACATATCAGAATTGGTAGGTTCAGTACTTCCTTTGGATCGCATATGCGGGTTCAACTAAATTCTGCAATCTATTGATTTATAGGTATCATAGACCTGGCCTGATCATGAAGAAGTGATCTTTAGGCATTAAATGTCAGTTATTTATGGTCTATAAGGTCTATGTTGCACACGTACACTTTTATCATCAACCACACCCAGGACATGTATTTTATCATTAATGTTAAAACACTTCATGCTAATTGCATATTTTGGCATGCGTGCACCATCCTACATAGGTTAAAACCATATTATCAGGAAAAAAACATAAAAGGTATATATAATAGTGCTAATTTAAGGATATCTATTAACATACGAGGAGAGGTATGTTAAGTTGTCCTATGGAAAAATGACGAATCATGGACTCTTTTCATATTAAAAAAATTGCATTATATGATTATATCTATTCTGTTGCTAAATTTCCGAAAAACACATGAGCACTGAATTTTCATGGATGTGCATGTCAACATATATGTAACTTTTTTAAAGGAACGTATATGCATTGGCATTCTCTCTTTTTCTTGAAGGGACCTATAGTGCTAAGGGCTCCATATGCCAACCTAGTTTGAGAGACATAGGGACAAGCAAGAAAGCTAGATCAATGCTGCAAATATAGATCATCACACATTACCATCTTCAAACATGTAGTAGAATGCAGAAAAAAGATTAAAAGGGCTGGGGACTTCATAAGTATTTTGTTCACTACCCACAAAGTGATTCCATATACAGTGTTTCTTCAAGAAGCCTTCAGATATTTCAAGTTCAGCGCACAAATAAACAATATGGAATAATCATCTATTACAATGGACTACAATGCATTCTGGTTGCTACATGTAAAGCTTTTCACTATCCCTTATGTTTACTTGCCATGTGCATCATAATGCAATATGTATCCCGTGAAATATTCAAGTATATTAAGAGCAAATACATAGTAAATACTACCAGAATGCTTGTCAACTTAAAACGTGCAGGGTCAAATTATTATTGAACTAAACTGCCGAGAAAAAAACATCAAGCAATGTATCTAGGAGGGGAAATATATCTGGATAGTTTCTTTTGAGTGACAAGAGTTAACGAACGAAGAGTAACATACTAAACCCGTAACATATGGGGACTCACAAAGTTGCACAATTGAGAGTAGATCAGTTGTAGGCTTGCACACACAAGAAGACTTTACATCTAAATATGTAGTACGCTTTGTGAATAAAATGGGGGTTTTAAAGCATTTCCTAAGTAATTGAAAACAACACATTTCAATTTTGACTTGATCTTACCTTACCAGACCCAAGGACAAATACAAAAGGAACAGGATCACCCATTTCATCCTTGTGCTCGTAAGTTGAGTCAAACCGCCACCCTTGTTTCGCCGCTAACCTTCCATAATAATGGATTGCAACCTTCACAAATAAGCATACCCATACTAGCCATGGTCACAAACACCAAAATGATCTTAATTCTTAAGCAAAATATTGGGCAAGACTACATAATCTCTCCCAGCACAATATCTTCATGGACTGACCAACGATAAAATTTTCAGTGTCCATTTCTCGTTATTATATATTGACCTTTCTTCACTTATGTTTCTTAATCTGAAGAAACACTGGATGCTCATCCACGTCTGACTGCTAGATTCTTGCCAATGTAATTGCATGAAATTGTAGTTACACTAGTTTGATTCAATCTTAAAATGTTGTAACATGCAACTGTAGTTATAGTGGCAGAGGTTTGTTATAGGGTAGAATGTTTTTCAAACTCATGCCGGGTAAAATTTGAGATCTTTTTGCAAATGCAACTAACACACTATTACATGAAACTCGCTAGCTAAAATTTGAGATCTTTTTGCGACCGCAGCTACAAATTGCGTTAACTAGGTGCAATCATTCATTCATTCATTTACTCATCCATTCTACAAAGGTTGCAGTGAAAGTTCACAACTTTTTTACCTGGTCACCATCAGCAGGTGATGGCCCGTCGCCGGGCCGCAGATCCAGGAACTTGACGCCTCCGGAGCCCTCTAGATCGGAGAAGGCGCCGGCGGCGGTGGGGGTAGGAGGAGGGGCGGCGGCGAGAGTGAGTGGTGGAGAGAAGAGGAGGAGAGAGATTGAAGAGGAGATGGTTAGAGTTATCGATTGTCTTCGATTGAGATTGAAATTGGGGGTTGGGGTTGGGGTTGGGGTTAGGGTTAGGGTCTTGGGAGTGGAGGGACGAGGAGGCGGGAGGAGAACGGAGGAGATGACGAGGAGCATGGCGATTAGGGACTGAAGATAACGGGCTTGGTGTTGGTGGTTAATTACGTTATGAGCCATTTAACCAAAAAGCCCAGAGTATAAATGCATTTTTCTTTAGAACTTACTTTTCAAATTTTTATCAAAGTATTGATTTATTTGCAAAATTTAGCCAATTTTGACCGCAAACTGAGCCTTTTTATCAGGTTTTCCCCCATGAACTTACTGTTTTACCACAACTTATTTTTAACCTCAACTATTTTTCAAATAAAAGGCTTTAGTTCCATACACTCATCTTTCTTTATTTTTAAAATCATGGTGGATGCTGTATTCAACGCACTTATACATTGTATTTCAGTAAAAAAAAATTTCTAAAAATTTGAACTCGTCGTTGCTCTCTTCTATAACCGATCTGACTTCATCAATTTCATGACCCAAGCTTAGCGTAGATGACAACGCCTCTCGTCCATGAACTTGTGAAACAAAGCGATGTGTGTCTCGCTGAGGTTCTGGTCTCTCATTTTTTTGATTTGAAGTGAAATGATCAAAAGTTTCTATGGACGGTACATTTTTGAGAAATTTTTTTCACAAGCATAATTGCAGAGAATACGAGAACTATCAGGCTCATAAACGAAAGGATCTTAATATTTAGGTCGAAGCATTAACTTACAAGTGGGTTGGGTTCAAATAAAGCAAGGTAAAAATATTGGTCTTACAAATGATACGTTGGGGTGGGTTGGGTGGGTGAATAAAAATAAAAGTTATTGGGGTCTTCATCTAATTTTAGAGGTATAGTTCACCAGAGGAGATGAAAAACAAAATGAATCCCTAAAAAAAATTCCCCTCTAAACACCAGAATAACATTGTTTAAAAAGGAGGGGGGAAGAAAGAAATGGGGAAAGTAAAGGGGGGAGAGAGAGAGTTGGAGAGGAGATAGAGATAGCGTGATTGGCCCCCACCAATCCTCTGACGTTATCTGCTTGTTATCCCCCTTTTACAAAAACCCCCCAAAAACCCAGCTCCTCCATCACCGAACCAATGGCAAACCCCATCATCACTATGAGATCCAGTGCGGCTGCCACGTCAGCTCCTGTCCTCCCCCCTTCCTCCTCCTCCAGTAGACCCTTGAAGAGGAGAGCCATGGTGATTAGAGCAGCTCTGGCCGTGGAGCAGGAGGAGAAGACCAAAGTCTCTCTCTTGAGAATTGGAACGAGGGGAAGGTGATTTATGCTCTGCCCCTTGAGTCTGAATCCGTTTTAGGTTTTGCCCATTTCATAAAGTTGTGATTTTGTTGGGGATTTGGCGGTAAATTTGTGAGCTTTGTGGTAAATTTGTGAGCTTTGACCAAAGTTGTGATTTTGTTGGGGATTTGGCGGTAAATTTGTGAGCTTTGTGGTAAATTTGTGAGCTTTGACCTCTGAAAAGAGTGGGGAAGGCTTCTGATTCTAAATTTGTGAGCTTTGTGGTAAATTTGTGAGCTTTGACCTCTGAAAAGAGTGGGGAAGGCTTCTGATTGATCCCAAATTTTGGGGAAATTTCTGATCTTTTTGTTATTCCCGTTGGATTGAGCATAGATTTGACATCGGTTGAATCTTCCTGTATTGCAATAGTCGATTTTTGTGGGAAATTGCTGTTAATATTGATGGGTTACTGCTTGTTGAGTAGATTTTGCCATAAATTTAGTGTACTTTGAGTAATTTTTTTTACTTATTATTCTCAGTGCCATTTGGATTTCGCTTTTGCCCAGAACTGCCATAATTTCCCATCTCAAAAATTTAATGTAATCCTTGCGGTGTATAGCTTGTTTAACATCTTATACTTTTATTTGTATTTTTAAAATTAAATTTTCGGAGACTAATACATTATGTTAAACTCCTTTATATCCGCTGCTTACATTTCCTATCATTTGTGTGATCTTTAGTTCATTGAATGATTAATAAATTGAAGTGAAATTAGCAAGAAGCTTATCATCAATTCTTATATATCCTGGTCATATATTCCATATATGGACAATATTGTTCCTGTTGTTTATGTAGGACAGTCCATTAGCACTTGCTCAAGCCCACGAAACACGAGATAAACTCATGGCTACACATTCTGAGCTTGCCCAAGAAGGAGCAATCGAGATCATAATCATAAAAACCACTGGTGATAAAATACTCAACCAACCGTTAGCTGATATAGGAGGCAAAGGACTATTTACAAAAGAGATAGATGAGGCTCTGTTGGATGGGAGAATCGATATTGCTGTCCATTCGATGAAGGATGTTCCTACTTATTTTCCTGATGGAATGATATTACCTTGTAATCTCCCCCGAGAGGATGTTAGAGATGCGTTTATATCTTTGACTGCGAAATCGCTTGCAGAGCTTCCAGCTGGAAGTGTTGTGGGTAGTGCTTCATTAAGGAGGCAGTCTCAGATACTCTACAGATATCCATCACTAAAAGTAAGTCATATTTTAAAACTTCGATTTAGTTTTAAACTCTTTCAATCCTGTAGATTTATAAGTAATACTATGTGTTGTTTAGTATTAGATAACATGCCTAAAAAACAACGAAGACTAGAAATACTTTTTGTTTGGTAAATGATAATGTGCATTATCTGTTAGCTGTCTACATGATATTTTCTTTATATGCTTATTAAGGTCATATTGGATGCTTGTGATCTCTCATAGTTAACTTTATAGCTAGGTGCACTTCCCTGAACAACTTTTCTTGTCTATCTTATTACAAGTTTTTTCGATTGGAAACTTTGTAGGTCCACTTCCTAGTTTCACTAGCATGGTTGTAGGTATATACATGAGCGTGAAATTGCACATATCAATTGCTAGGTTATCATGACCGCCAATTCTCCTTTTGAGCAGTTGGAAAATTCCTTGTTCTCATTCATATACCAACTTAGTGAAAGGCCAATGTCAAGTTGATATGCAATTATACTGGTCAAAATGTTGACTCTGTCTAGTTGTATGTTTACATGGTTTATGAGGCATGGGATGTAGATTCTGATACTCATCCACAAAAGCATCATTGCAATATTCATCGTTATAATATTCCCCTGAATTATTAGGAACTCTATGGGGGTATTTACTTACCTACGTTGTGATTCTGTTGCATGCTAATCAAATAGTGATCTTGGTCATAGTTCAATCATCACTATCCATCTTGCCTGTTATACTATTTATTTAAATGTGCAGATGACTGTCTCATCTTTTCCGAGGTAGATTTTGGGCAACATGTCAATATTTTTTCCATTATTCAAAAGTGTGAACTATGATTGACCAAATCCAATAAGTTTCATCCTAAACATTTATGTCTAGCAGGAAGAGTAGTGTTGATTGACTGAGTAATTCTTGCTCTTCTAGTGTTCTTTCAAATACACGAGTATATCTTGGTGTGATATCTGATTGAGAAAATGACTAGAATACTATGGGTCTGCTATGAAATTGGCAGGTAAGCCATTGGCTTTCTTTGTCAAAATTATGCTTTGCCAGACGCTTGGAAGGGCTTGAATACAAAGTAGCAGGTAATTCAACCCCATTCTTTACCACTAGGTCGGGCCTCAACACTGTATAAGGCTTCCATTTAACCAAAGTGTTTCTTAGACACTCTTCAGATGCCCATTCATTCATAAACTATTCAAGAATCCATTATTTTTGTAAAATTTCACTTATATTTCTTTTATATATTATGGTTGGTTGATGCTATTTCTTTCACTGTGAACTTTTACCCATCTTTGCATATGTTCCTACTGAGAGAATACCACAAGCCATTCTTCAATAAACCTCACTTTCTGAACACGAGCTCTCCCTCTTTGTGAACAAAATCTATATTGTGCAGGTTGTTAACTTCAGGGGCAATGTTCAAACTCGACTAAAGAAACTCAACGAAGGAGAGGTCCAAGCAACATTATTAGCACTTGCAGGGCTCAAGAGACTGAGCATGACTGAAACCGTAACAGCTACACTCTCCATTGAAGAAATGCTCCCTGCAATTGCTCAAGGTGCAATTGGCATAGCCTGTAGAAGCAACGATGATAAGATGGTAAGCCTGTGATAATTGCAAAATTTTGAGCAAAAAACACATAGTTGACCTAGGCTACTACTGATAGTATCCAAAATTGCAGATACTAGAGATCCAAATTTAAAGTTAGACTTTTCAAATTGGGTTGGATAGGATATAATACACGTAAACTATCTAGAAACAAAGAAAAAAAAAATCAAAATTTAGACATGTTCTGTACTAGGGGTAAAATTCTAAAATGTTGCTTTTGACAACGTAAGATACATGGTTAAAACATGTTGAACCCATTGAGGATTTTATTTTATGTAGTTGATTTGTAGTCAATCACGTCCAACTGTAAAATTTTAATTTAGGAATGCCAAAATTTTGAATTTGATAGCTAACATATTGGCCTAATTAACTCTAAAGTTTGAGCATAAATGTTTGCTAATCTTGTTAAACATATCGCACATTTTGATATGGCCAGTAACTGAAAGAGAAACATTCATGTGAACAGGCTAATTACATTGGTTCCTTGAATCATGAAGAGACAAGATTAGCTGTTGCTTGTGAGAGAGCATTTCTCGAGACGCTGGATGGTTCATGTCGAACTCCAATTGCTGGATATGCACACAAGGACAAGGATGGGTATTGTGTTTTCCGAGGTTTAGTAGCCTCTCCAGATGGAACTCGAGGTGATAATACATTCTATATATATGTCAATGAAAAAATTATTATTCTGTTTGTTGATAAATTTCTAATGGAGATGTATTATTACTTGTTCTCTTAATAGTTTTGGAGACATCGAGAAAAGGGCTATATGAATATGATGATATGGTTTCGATGGGTAAAGATGCTGGAAAAGAATTGATGTCGAGGGGAGGCCCGAGTTTTTTTAATTGGTAATTTTAGAGAGATAATGGGAGTGAAGATAGAAAATTTTCCGGCATTGATTGTTCTTCGGGTTGAGCTGTAACATTATTATTTGTAGCAAGTTAGAACAGTTGTATTAATTATTTGCATTTCTGCTCCTTCCTCAGTCCCTCCCATTTTCTTTTTAATATTTGATGACACTGCACTTCTTTAATTCCCAGTTAGTTATTGGCGTGATGAGTTTGTGTTCAATTTTAATGTTATTGTTGATTCTTGGATAATTGCGTAGAGAATTAAAATGTTTTGGTTTTAATGTAGAGAATTGAAATTTATGTTATGTCCTATTAAGTGCGATTTTATATGCTCAAATGGAAATTTTGATGGATTTCAGGAGAGTTGAAGACATGGATTTAACGGGAAAATAATCCGTCTTTACTTGATTTTGGAGCTAAAATGTCCATAAGAAACCAAATTAAAATAAGAAACCAAAATAAAGCGTAGATGAATTATGGAAGAAACAGCATCTTTAAAGACTTTAATCAAGTATTATACGATGAATTTGTAGATTTTCCTCTATTATTAAAAAAAAGGAGACTGTTATAGTTTCTTATCCGCTGCTAAATATCGAGGTCCTCATCTGCTAAATATCGCGCGGGAAAAGTAATCAAGACCTAAAATCCCATTTTAAAGTACCGGTCAGAATTAGGGCTAAGGATTCTAGGGTTTCCTTTAGATTCTCTCCAATGAACGAGGAGACGACGAAGAACGCGGGGATCAGGGGGACCATCGATCTCGCCCCTCGAGATCCACCGTCGATTTCCGATCTAACGGATCGAGTTCATCTCCTCCCTTGCTCGATCAAGCTCGACGGTCCCAGTGAAATCTCTCACTACTTCAAGCCTCGAGACACAGGTTCATTTAGGGTTTATGCTTAATTTTTCCTAGTTTCTCTTCTTCTTTTCTTTTTCCCGAACCCTAATGAAATTTTTTTTGGGAGAAAATAGAGGTTGTTGTGGATGGATTGAGCGTAAAAGAGGCTTATTTTAGGGGGAGGAAGCTGCTTGGAGCCACTGTTCCAATTCCTGAAGGGTTTAAAGGTGAGTTTTCATTTTAAAAAAATGATCTTTTTTGGTTTTCATCTGAAAATAGATGGGGGAAGATCGAATCCTTGAGCTGAAATGAAGTTAAAAAATACAGGGTAAATTACAAGAAACCCCCTTCATCTGTACCCAGTTTTTCAGAACCCCCTCATCTATTAAGTTCCACAAAAGACCCTCTAATCTATAATAGTTGTCAAAATTGTTCGTTTCTAAACAGTTTGGGATAAACTTGTGAGGCAGGTGAGAGGAGTAAATTTCAAATTCCGAACCATCCATGTTGTTTTCATTTACTATCTTTTATTATATCTTTCATAGATGCGAGAAGTGACATTCCTTTATAAATGTATGCAGTTACGAATAGACGAGGTTTTGTTGTAGTTGTTGTCGTTGTTGAACTTAATAGACGAACGTGCTTCTTTAAAAACTGTATAGATGAAAGGGGTTTCTTGTAATTTACCAAAAAATGATTTTTTTTCCTCTTTACTCTACTTCGTCCATTTGTTCGAAAAGGGGAAAAAATTGAATCTTTGATCTGAAATGAAGCAATGTCGAAAGGCTATCAGGTGGTTTCCATATATTTTTGGTTAATATCATTTAACTACAGGGTATGTGTTGGATAAGAAGAAACTAAAGAAAGGGAAGATAACAGAGAGTTTGGAAGGTGATTTTGGCCAATGGGAATCTCGGGCTGAATTTGGGAACATTACATATTGGAACCATGATACTCACCCTTCAGCTGATGATCCTCTTTTGCGCTGTTTTCATTGGTTTTCTGTAGCTGATGCGGTGAGTTTTTGATGATCAGTTCTCCTTCATTATGTTTATTAGGATATATGGATATTTATGTTCAGCTCTCCGTACATGAATTAATATCTTGATTCATCGCTATATAAATAGTTTAGGAGATGGGGACTTTTGGGTGCTTCCATATGAGAGAAGTGGATCAAAGTTGAGATATTATCGAATGGCAACCAATCCTTTGGTTATATGCAATTTGCTGAAATAGTATTATCAACTGTGTAATTTTTCATGCTAGATTAGTTACATTTGTGCATGCTTTTATCTGATTCTTTTTTTTGTTATATATATATATATATATATATGGCACATCAAAATTGGGGTTACGCCCCCCTAACTGGGGGCTGTCGAAAGTTGCAAATTTTAGGTTATTGTTAACTCAGGTGAATGGATCGGGTTGAAATCGCACTCTTCCCAACTAGGTCCTAGTCACCAAAGGCCATTTACTTTAAGACAGGGCTGTGTTGGGGTGGTTTTTGAATTCTCGACCTCTATTGAGGCTGGTTTACTGTTGGAGATATTAAGGTTTCGGAGGTTCAGGTTATGCGGTCAAATATATATATATATATATATATATATCATACTCCCTTTAAAAGCATGAGTTCGGAAAAATATTTCGGTAGACAAAAATACCCTTGAAATTCAAAGACTAATCCATTAAGTAAAAGTGAGTTGATCAATTGATGAATTCTTATTGGATATATATAGTGTGAAGACAATGATATAGTTTAAATTGAAATGTAAACATGAATGAAATTATTAAATACCAAATTTACAAATGTATACAAGAAGAAGGGCGTATATGCAAAAACCAAACAAATTAATGAGACAAATAATGTCTGCCCTAGAGGTTGAACCCAAAAACAACACAGACCTACAAATGTACATAATATGAATGTTGTATTTGCAAAATCCACCAAACAAATTAAAGAGACAAAATCGTTCTTAAAATTATAATAAAAAAAATTAAAACAAACGGCTACAATATGAGGACACAACGTGGCGAACTTTCACCAACTAAAATTCAAGTAGTTCATTGTACTACATAATTAGTTTTAAAGTTTAACTATATTCTTATTATTTAAATAGAAATCTATTTACAATTGTTATCCTCTCACATGTAACATCACATACCAATGTATATAAGTCAAGAAATTATAACAATTTTCATAGCACTTTCATCTTCTTCTACAGATATAGCTTTTGTTATTTTTTTATTAGATTAGATTATATTATTTTAAAATAATTAATTATTTAATTATATAATATATTCGATCTTATTAGATCTTTTTTATATTATTTTAAAGCAAGTGGCATGTGCTGTAATAGTTTTAATAGAAAATGTAGATATGAAAGATTTTGGTAATTTTCCTTTCATGAATATTTTAGTTATTTAATCACAGTTTGGTAAGACCGATGAGAAAACGTTAAAGTTCAAAGGAACTTTGTGAGGCACCAAAGATAAAGGGTTTACATGAAATTAACATTAACTTTTCTAGAATCAAAGGCCTCTATATGCATCATAGGCATCTGAAAATCTTCCATTTAAGATCATTAAGTAAGATTCTACAACATCCATCTTCCATTTAAGAATATTAAAATAATTATAATATATTAAATAATTTTTAAAAAATATAATAATATCATACTTGGCATAATTATAATACTATTAGTAACTATATTTTAATTTAATAACTAATTTATTACACTGTTAGTAAATAATTTACTACATTGTATAATTATTAAATTACAATGTAACTTATTAATTGAAAAATACTATTAGAATCATTATACTATTAATACTATTATACTATTACAATTATAATAAATACAACTTGTTTTTATACTATTATCAAACTTTTAAAAGGGTAATAAGATGCCTGTAACAAGAGATCCTCCATAAGAGGTGAAACCCAGAGGCGTAAGACTTAAGCTTAACGAATTTTTTTTTTTATTTTTAAATATTATGCGAAGATAAATTAGAAATAAGTTTCAAGATTTCTATTAAATAACATTATTAATTAATAAAATAATAGTGTGACAAAAGATTGAAAAAGTGAGGGAATATATAATTAGTGAATGATTAATTACTACCAATGACATATTTGACATTCAAACTTAAAAGGGTAAAAATGAAAATCAAAAGTTTTGACAAGACAATCCTCTTTTATATGTAGCATTGATTGATTGATATTGATTAAGCAATATGACAATCTGTTCAAAAAATTACAGCTATTTAAGAGATAATTTACTAATTTTAATTACCACATGCATGAATTTAAGGTTCGAATGATCGAATTTGGCAACCAATAAAGTGGACAAGGACAACCAACAGCTCACAATGAACCTCACAATCTCAACCCTCTCAATTCCAAATCTATACTAATAAAAGAGAATACCCATGTTAAAACTTTTAAATTTTTTTTTGCCCTCTTAAATTTTGATAATTTACAATTATACCATTATTTTTAAATAATTTTAACTAACTATCCATAACATCTTATTAATTTGGACCTCCTTACTTAATTTCCCACATATTGAGGCATTCACTAAAATATAATCTATACTACTTTAAAAAGAGGATTGGGGTGTTATAACTTCTAATTTTCTTTTTTGCCCTCTCAACTTTTGATAAATTTTACCTATGCTGTTATCTCTAATTAATCTTTCATTAAATAAATATTATCTTTTATTAATTATGCACTTTCTCATCTTCCTAAATAATTATAATTATCCATAATATTATAACTATCAATTGTTTAAAAATATATAAAATAAAATAATTTATCAAATAAGTAATACACAATTATTAGTAGTAACCAATTAAATTATTATAATAATTATTTATGAATTATAATAAAATAATTAAAATAATAGTATAAATAGAACAATATATTACTAAATACTATTAAGAATTATACTATAATTCAATGAACAATAAAATAAATAGACTAAATTTTGAATCACATAAATAGTGTAACAATTTTAATAATATCAGGTAAATTACTAATTACACTATTTTTTAGTATTATATTATTAAATAAATCAAATAAATAATTTAATATTATTTTATAGTATTTTATCAAAGATTATTACATGATACTGAATAATCTATATTTGGTAATGATTGAAAACTAACCTTTTTACAAAAAATATATTTGTTATTAATAATAGTACTATTAATTGTTAATGGTAGTATAATAAAAATTTATGAAATATTTATAGTACTAAATTATTTAAGAGCATAGTTAAAAAATCAAATTAGATAAATATTTTAATAGTATATAGACTATAAGTATTTTAATAGTATCATTTGAACTAAGAATTATAATATTAAATAATGTAACTTATGAACTTTTGAAATCACACTAAACTTGTAATAAGTTTGTAGAAAGCTCCCAATGTCTTTTAGATAAATTACACCAAACCTCCAATAACTTTCAAAATGCCTTTTAATGCCATTTTTTGGTTCTAATTTATAGGAGTTATATGCAAAATTCATAAATTTGTTAGAGGTCTTCTTTGAAACAGAAAAGTCATTAGGGTTTTATTGTAATTCTGAAAGTTCATATAGGCTAAAAGTTTATAAGCGTTTAGTGTAATTTACCCTATTAAATAATTATAATGAAAAGTAACTATTGCAATATGTTGTGTGTATCAAGTATAACTATCTAAGGAACATTAGGATAAAGCTAGCAAGATTAATGCAGCTTAGTTAATTTAGAGTTGAGTTAACAACTTTTAAGTTAGAGTGGCATATTTAAGAGAATTTGTATAATTTGCAGTTTTATTTAAGAGCAATTTTAGATTCGAAGACTTATTTAAAGAAGATTAACACTAGGCGATCATTATAATAAAAACATTAAATTACAATAACTAAAAAAGATTAGCGCTAGGCGATAATTATAAGAAAAACATTAAATTACAATAACTAAACAATAATAATTAATTTATGCATTTCTTTTTAAGCCATCTTATAATATGATTTTATTTATTAACACATAGTTTTGCTATTCAAAATAAAAAATTAAAACTTAAAACATGTAAGTTCACTTGCAAAGCACTGTTGCCCATCTATATTATGCTGTCTCTCTCTCTCTACTATTATACTATATATATACCTCACGTCTACCCTCTCCTTCCTTTAGCCATAGCTCCAAATCGTTAGGGCGGTACTCTATACTTATATTCCAGAGCACCTTCGTGTCCTAATGGGTCCGACGCCGTGTGACGTCTTTAGATAATCATTCGTGCGGAACAGGCCACTGCCCGGCCCTTAAAATCAACATGATTGAAATTCACATTGTGGCATGATTCCGCCCTTCGTTGACTTGATCTACATCATTTCTAAAAACTCCAACACACCAGTTTTGGCCGACTGCAACCGTCTGCTCGGTTTTGACCCCTTCATCCATTCCTGCCTAGTCACAATTTTAATGATGTCGACCATGAATAGAACTTTTGTCAGCATGGCTTCAGACCGAGCTCGGTCACAATGCACGATTGGCGTTGCACCCAAACTTGGCGTGCGGCTGTCCTCTGTCTGCGCCAGCTTTTTAGAATATGTAGCATCCAAGCTCCTAACGGCACGCTGCTCGCATCATCCACAATGTAGCTCAAATCATTTGTCGGAGTCTCTAGGCCCGGTGCCCTTATACTTCATACTATACATACTATATACTCATATCACCTATATTAATATATCATCATATATTTATATATACTATATATATATATAGACCGAGCAGAGACTGAGACGAGAACTATTATATAGTATTATATATTATATTATATATATACTACCTATATATTATATATACTATATATATATATTATTAGATGAGAGAGAAGATGTTCTAGATAAAATACCTCCTTTAGCTCTTTAAAAACTCTCCCTTCATCCATCTGCGATCTTAGTTGCAATCCTAATGCGCTTGCGCGAGTCAGTCAACAGAACATGCATTAATTACCTCATCGAACACAAATCCAGATTCACTGCTGTGAATCTTGATTCACTGCAGTGAAAAACGTGTTCGTTGAGGTAATGAATCTGGATTCAATACAGTGAATCTGGATTCACTACAGTGAAAAACATGTTCGTTGAGGTAATGAATCTGGATTCATTGCAGTGAATCTGGATTCACTGCAGTAAAGGACGTGTTCGTTGAGGTAATGAATCTGGGTTCAATGTAGTGAATCTGGATTCACTGCGTTGATGTAATTAATGCATGTGTTTAATGAGGTAATTAATGCATGTGTCTGTTGACTGTTTGACTGAATCCTAGCCATTGGATGAAGGAGGTTTTTAGTTTTTAGGCTAAGGAGGTTTTTATTAGAACCTCTCCATATATATATATATATATATATATATGAGAAATATGGAGAACCTTGGTACCAAGTTTCTCCATTAAACTTGGTAGTGAGGTGGTCAAATCAAGACCCTACATCATGCCTCGGAGAGAGAGCCTTAATTACTATTCACCTACTTTAAAAAAGAGGCTCCATCTCCGAGGCATGATGTAGGGGCTAGATTTGGCCACCTCTTGAATAGGCCTTTTACTACAAAACTGCTAGCTCAGTGGTCACTTGTTAAGATTTCAGTAATTGCATATGCTTTAAAACAACTGCTTGTGAGAAGTAAAGTTATTCATTGCAGTAGTTTTATTCGTTTACTATGTACTGTTCTTACCCTAAACATTATATTTGCTCTAATTTTACCTTTTTTTTTGTTACTTCGGAATTGTTTGAAGACTTTGTGCAGCTTATTTCAATTTTATGTCTGTTGTTGCAGCTGCATAAACCTATTACTACTGAAGAGTTGGCTTCCTATTCAACAGCTTCAGAAAAGGCCCAAACTTGAGCAACTTTTGGGAGTGACTTCACTTCTACTGCAAGGAGAATTTTTCCCTTTTGTTACTCACATCCTACTTCATATGCTGCTAATCTTGATAGTGCCGGAGAATCTTAAGGCACAAAGAACCCTTGTGGAGCATCAATCGTTATTTGTGTAGATATCTTTTAGTGATTCACTTCTTTACATGTAGCAGGATTCCTAGCGAATGTTGTCGGAAAGTCACTGGAATGGATCTTCCGAAAACATCCAGGAACTGGTGGGATGTAGCTTGACAATGTTGAGGGTAGCCACTTGTCTCTGCCTCTGCCATTTTGACTTCTTTTCATTTGGTATGTAGACTCAAAGAAATGTTGTCAAATGTTGTAAGAGGGTGCTGGATATAACTGCTATTAGCTTGATTATCAGCAATGTATTATGGATTTCTTAACAAATTTTGTGTTTATTCCTTTAGCTATTCTGTACTTTGTAAAATCTCTATATCTGATCTGACTTTATGAATCAGGAATTTCCTTTCAGTTCTTTGGTAAGTGGGTATGCTTGAGAAGTATTTATTTCCAGAGTCACTTATTGTAAAATTCCTTAGAATACTTCTTATGATCATCACAAACTGCGCGTTACATTTATTTTTATTGATTATCCACAAACTGCGAGTTACATTTATTTTTGTTGATTATCTTTTATACACTGCGAGTTACATTTATTTTTGTTGGTATGTAGACTCAGATAATTCTGCAGACTGCACGTGTGTTTGTTGGATACAGAATATTGCAAGTAGAAGTATTAGCTCCCTGCTGAATACTGGAAAAATTGTGAAGCAACGACGTTTTGATTTATCTGGCTACCCTTCGTCATATTAATGGCTATAAACTTATACTCCTTTACCGGACTTCCTTTTTAGGGGGAAAAAAGGCTCTTGTTAAGTTAATCGTCGTTCCTGTAGACTGTAGTAGTAGTCCGAGTTTGAGAAGATACTACATTTTCATATACTACAGTACCTCATTTCTTTTAATTAAATCTACCAGTGATCAATATGCTCTTCTTTTGCAACTTTATGATTTTCAAATGGGTTTTCTCGAGCACGTATGCCCTTTTCATGTTGTCAAGTGTCAACCATTATTGCAGGTAGCTTAAAGATATTTTGGTGATATCTACAGATTATGGATGTTTGTGTTGTGTTATGATGGTGTAACACCCTGTTACGTAAAATATCACTGCTCATAGTTGCAATTGCATACACACGCATTTTTTTTCCCCTTTCCAGTTCGTTCTAATACACAAAATATATATGTTCCTTATTATATGATCACATGGATTTTACGTGCATGCCCGATCCTCTTTTCTCGATTGAAGTTTTGGCGCCACACGTTGGCTTTACGTTTTGAGGGAGGACGGCAGCCTGCAGGTGTTTGATGCGTATAAGCCGATGAACTCCAGAGAAGGGAATAACTGCATTCCTATCATACAGCTAGCTAGCTCTGCATAACCAATGAGTTGTGGGCGTGGTGCTTATGAGATTTTTCTGGAATAAAAACGGAAGCTTCGCTGGAGGTTGACAATGTTCGGTGCCAAGGCTACCCACTCTTAAAAGTAACGAATCCGATGCCATGTCCTTGTGTGGTCTCTGGATTGATAAAAGGGGATAGGGATGGCCTCAAATATGAAGATTCCGGCTATATATGGCAGTTGATTATCGAAGATTAATTTTGACTGGTGCTTTTTGCGTGGTTAATGAAATGACTACTTTCATTGTATCCTCTCGCATGTGTACAGATGTTTCCATATTGCGGAATACACCGCCGGTATGATTTTCTATTCTATGATTCTATGAATTGATAAAGCGTTTATATTCTTGCTTCTGTCGCACTCAAGGTTGATCACAAACGAAGAACAAATAAAAGAGGAGAGAGAGAGGGAGGGAGATGAAGAAGATGCTTTCCTCACCTCCGTCCGCTCGTGCATGGTCCACGTCTGGAGAATCCTAGCGGCGCTGTGCAGCCCATTGGTATGCCCCCTCTTTATTTTTTGCCTTTTTTTTCCCGATCATATCGTTCTGTTCGGTCTCTTCTTTTCTTCTATAAAAAGCTAGACGATGCGCATTTATCTTTAAATTGCCTACTTCTCAAGCCTGCAGCCACCTTCGTTCTTTTCGCAGTTTTCACTTAAAATTTAACTGATTCTTCTTCAGAAAGATGACTACGAGGACTTCTCCTCACTACAAGCCCTCCAAGCCGCTGGTGGCCGCAAAGGTAACTTCATCGTCCGCAGGTGAAATTAATCGCCTATTTCGTTATCGCGAAACGAAGAAAAGCAAAATTCTTATGTCGATCGAGCTGATCATTGCAATTGAGAACACAGGAATTTTCACATCGAAAATTCCAACATCTGGTGCTCGCGTATCACTCCATAGGATAGCTTTCTTAAAGTTGAAACTCCCATATGTTTCCCACGCATTTCTCATATGATTTCTGCGTTAAGTGTCCTTTGATTGATTTTCTTGCTTTTATGACCAGAATGGAAACAGATGGGTCATCAAACCTTGTTCACTCGAGATCATATGGGGTGGAGATGACCGCTACTGGCGCATTCCTAAAGAAGAAACGTAAGCTTTTATTCATGGTCTTAATTACCTAAGAAAGTGTAAAAAAGAAAAAGAAAAAAAAAGGAACCATTAATTATATCAGCAGCTCCATACACCAGAAACTGATCATACTCAATTTCTTTTTCATGTTTGCTCTTAAAATTGTTCAGAGATCAGCCCGTCGAGCTTCTACAAGTGAGCTGGCTCGAGGTCACTGGTTCACTCGGCGTCGACCAGCTGCCGAAGGGTCAGGAGCTGATGTTCAAATTCAACGTGAGATTGAAGTCCGACGCGTTCGGCTGGAAGAATGCCCCCGTGTACCTAAGCGCTGGGTTCGGCAGGGCCTGCAGCTGGAAGAAGTATGACCTGAGCCTCTTGAAGAAGGAGACGATCGTCGAAGTCCCTCAATACCCGAGGGTTAAGGTCCCTACGAACCCTGCTCCCGGTGACAAGATTCACTTCGGCATGTACGAGATTTGGACGGGGACGTGGAAGGGGGGCCTTTTCATTCATGATGTGGTCATCGAAGCAGTTTAATTTCGCCCGAAGAAGTCAAAAGTACGTAGTGCATTATGCAATGTAATTCCATCCGTATGTAAAAAATAAAATTAGTTTCCCGTGTCGATCTCATGGCTTGCGTACCCTCTTGAGAGCGTAGCATGGTGTGCGCCTGCACGCCAAATGAAATGAAACTTACATAATATTTTTGAATATTATAATAAAGATTTTACCGTTGTAATTATTCTTTGGGTATTATTTGTATAGTAATTAATGTTATGTTATCCTTAGAAATTGTGCTGTTAGACCAATGCGCTGTGATGGTCGCTTGCTTGTTTGGATTTGATATCTAACTTGGATATTTCTTAAACTACTCACGCTTCGTCTATAGCTCGTAAATGATAAGTACGTCCTAACAAGTTATTATGCACGAAACCTACATGGGAGATGTGGTTGTGGGTCTAAAACACTGGGAATGGTGATTTCCCCATTGTATGACATCATGAGTCCACATTGTGACATGTGTAGTACCGGACCGCATTTGAATTCTTTAGGACTTACCACCTAAGAGATGGAGAATTCAAATTGTTACATGGTTCCCTTAGACTTAATGATGTTGCCATATCCGATTTGTTAATTTGGTATGGTTTGATGGTGATGGTTAATCATGTTTCTACGAGTGCTATAAAACCTGAAATATTAGGTTAGTAAATTTCATTTAGGGAAATGATGGATATATATATATAGAGGATCTAGTATGCTCATTATGATGAGTATAATTTATTATGTGCATCCATGAAGCTGTAAAACCATGTTGACAAAGTACGTGGTTTTGGAAATATTTTCAAAATCTGCTCATTTGTTATAAATTGATACTTTCAAAAAATATTTTTATTCATGGGAATTGTTATTTTAGACATGAGCAAATAACTGAATTGTCCTGCTCTATAATATTATCTAAAAGAAATAAATTAATACTCGAACGGATTGAATGTAAGATAATATATTATAAATAATTATATCATATTATGAAAGAGTTTTTATGAACATTTAATTGGATAGGGACTCGATGGTTAAATTAAAGTTATCGATAAAAATTAGTTGAGAATTAAATGCAATACTAATATTTCTATTTAAAGAAATATGAAATATATAATTCAAAAAAGTTTTTATGAAAAACTCTTTAGGTTTGTCGTGATAAATATTGTTTGGGTCAAAAGTTGATGTTTTCATTGCTATCGAATCTATTACAATTTTGGTCGTTACAATAAACTCAAATAAACGAGAAAATGTCGATCTTTTTATAAGATATCCTTATACAATAAAAATATAAAAATTACAACTCTTGTCAAACAGCGCAACAGACGTTTATCACCCGCTCCTTGCGTGGGATCTTTGCCTGTGCCGGGGACGTTGATATCCGTGAACCGTCGCGGATCAGATCCGGTTGACAGATTATGGAATCAAAGCTCCTACTTCACGAAGGAAGTATTCGCTGCAGCGATAATCTCGACCAAGCGAGATTACGACTCTTCTCAAAATTAAGATTAAGCTTAAATCCGGAGGAATAGGGTACGGGTCTCAGATCTCTCGAACTCCACTCTTTATGCACATGAACTCGCTAAGATCTGCTAACCCTCGTTGTAAATTCGTGGCTCCACTCTCCAATTTGGCAGCGTTTCGCCCTCTTGATCTCCTCCCCGTGAAATGAACCCATAGGCCTGTATTTATAGGCTTCGATTAGTGGGTTTTCGGATAAGAATGATGGATTTGATCATATCTTCAGTCAATAACAGCCTAACCATGTTTGTGGATGATATCAAGTCAGTTGGGAACCCCTGGAACAGATAAATCCCGAGAAAACCGCTAAAAAACGTCAAAAACGCGTTTGGGGCTCGGATCTGCGCGACGGGCGCTGCTGACCCGCAGGGGGCGCGGGTCGGCGCGGTCCGACCCGCGCTTAGCGGGGGCGCGGGTCGGACCCGCGCCTACCCGCGCCCCCATGCGAAGTCTAAGAGCGCCCTCGCGGCAGATCCGAGCGCCCAAACGCGTTTTTGACGTTAGCGGTTTGTCTGGATTTCTATCTGTTCCAGGGGTTCCCAACTGACTTGATATCATACCACAACATTGGTTATAGGGCTGTTATTGATGAAGATATGATCAAATCCATCATTCTTATTATCGCGAAAACCGCACTAATCGAAGGCTATAAAATACAGGCCTGTATGGGTTCATTTCACGGGGAGGAGATCAAGAGGGGCGAAAACGCTGCCAAATTGGGAAGAGTGGAGCACGAATTTACAACGAGGGTTTAGCAGAGTCTGTAGCGGAGTTCATGTGGCATAAGAGTGGGACGTTCGAGAGTCCACTCTTCACTATGTATGTATCCGTCATCTCGCCCGGTCTCAATGCTGCTTTTCCCGGGACTCTTAATTTATTAATCTTCTTAATTCTTGAGAGAGTCCGTCACACGTCGATAGCATTTAGGCGAGCAATTATGTCACGCCTCTTGTATAGCTCGATTAGGGGGTTTATGGGATAAGAATGATGGATTTGATCATATCTCAGTAAATAACCAGACCCTAACAGTTTGGGATGGTATCAAGTCAGTTGGGACCCTGAAAGATAAAGTCCAGAGAAAACCGCTAAAAAACGTCAAAAACGGCGTTTTTTGGCTCGGACTCTGCGCGACGGGCGCTGCTGACCACGGCAGGGACGGCGGGGCGCGGGTAGGGTCCGACCCGGCCCCTAGTCGCGGGGGTTTGGCCTTTTCTGAATTCTCGTTGTTTTCCGACTTTCCGACTTGTATTTCTGTCGTTTTGTATTTGATCATCTTGTTGAATGTATTTGATAACTGTTCATGCACTTCGTTAGCATTTCTTTACGGCACTTGACGACCGACGATGCACGTCGATTTGGATCTGAACGACAAGAGGGTGGCACTTTGGATACTGACCAACAAAGTGGCGGTACTTGAGCTGCTGACAAGCCGTCAAGCAACTGGAGCTACCTGAAGCCCGTCAAGGGCACTTGGAGCTGCTGGAGTACGTTCGGTCACTTTTGAGTGATGATGAGCGGGAGCTGATTGACGTGCGCGCGTTTGTATACGTGCGCCGGAGGTGGATGATGTGCTGCAGCTGCCATCAGATTTATCCTTCTTGACTCGATGATGACGTTCATGGGAGCGCCCGTCGCCTAGAGTTGATGCCGGCGTGCAGGATACAATCTGATTGATGCAATTTTTGTTGACAGACCATTCCCCAAATACTACTCATCTGTTGAATACGTTAAAACGTTCCTCACTTTGGCTGTGATCACCATCTTCCTCAATTTTATTTGTGATTATTGTAATATCAATGATACAGGCAGCTTTTAGAGATTGAGTGCCCTCACAGTAATTCTAAATGTTATTTCCATGAATAATACTAAGAANNNGAGTCGGCACAGCTGACTCGCGCGGCGCGGGGGTTTGGCCTTTTTGCTGAATTTCTCGTTGTTTTCCCGACTTTCCGGAACTTGTATTTTCTGTCGTTTTGCGTATTTGATCATCTTGTTGACTTGTACAATTTGATAACTTGCTTCATGCACTCGTTAGCTTCTTTACGGCACTTGGAACCGACCGACATGCACGTCGGGCACTTTGGATCTGACCGACAAGAGGGTCGGGCACTTTGGATCTGACCAACAAACGTGGCGGGTACTTGGAGCTGCCTGACAAGCCCGTCAGGCAACTGGAGCTACCTGACAAGCCCGTCAGGCACTTGGAGCTGCCTGACAAGTACGTTCGGTCACTTTGAGTTGACTGATGAGCGGGAGCTGATTGACGTGCGCGCGTTGACTGACGTGCGCGAGCTGATTGATGTGCGCAGCGGCCAATCAGATAATCCTTCTTGACTCGGATGATGACGTTCATCGTCTTCTCTTCGCCTCGAGCTGTGTGCGGACACCTATATGCATTTTTAGACGCCTACAAATATATTTTGTTTTAACACTTATCTTTTAGCTAGCTTGACACTTCTCTCATTTGGGGATAGTCTCACATTAACATGAATATGAACTTGAGGGATTGCCTTTGCCTATAATAAAAATGGTTTGAGGAAACTTAAATATTTTTTTTAAGAGTTCATATCTCTCTTGCAATATTGCACCCTTTCGGCGATGGAAGGATTTGGTTAGAGGCTTCCTCTTCAAGAAAAGATCTTAGGATTTCTGTGAAGAGTTTAGAATAGCGATTGAGGTAATTTTAAACTTCTCTTTTATAAGTGTTCTGTAATTAGTTCCTTATTATTACTAATATTCTTTTCGCATTTCAAGGAAGGCCGGGGCCCATTTCACCCCACTGTAGCTCCGCCGCCGATGAGGTTCATGAACAAACTTTTGCAAATGTACATGGTCTGTTGAAGGTTCGTGTCTATATAGGATGTTGAATGCTTTATTTGATTTCTTATTCTTTACCACCAGAAAAATATCAATACAAACATTTGGCCAGGTTTGGTGTTCCATAAAGTCTAGTATACTATTTATCTCATAGATATCGTTCTTGATATACTTTTAATTTACTCTAGAAGCAGGAGAGAGATGTAATTCACATTGTTTTTTAAAGGAAAAAGAATCACATATAAGCTACACTTTTTAATCATATTATTTGAATTTAGATTTTTTTTAAAGGTAATTAACCTTTTCTTCCACTTGCTGTTCTTTATGCCAATTTTATAGCCTTGTGAAATATGATTGCTTGAACTTGACCTTTGTTTCCATTACTTCATGTGTAGCAACCCCCTATTTACCCATCTTAATCACCACCGTCAATAATTCTCCTCCTCTCACATGTATTTCAATGGCTTTAATCAAAATCTTTCCGCGATATATTCTTGACCTCAACTTTTTTTTAGAGAACTGAAGGATATCTTCAATTTAATCTGATCCCTCCTCAAAAGAAGAGGAAAATGATTTTTTTTTTGTTATGTAGTAAAACTGCAAGAACATAATCTGTTGTGTTTATATCATCTGTAGAACAATTTTTTTTTTAAACGATATAAAAAAGGCAATGTGTTGTGTTTATATCCTGTTTAAGCCTGAAAACAGAAGTCAGGGTGATCAAAATATTGCCAATTAAGAGGTAAAATGTGAAATCAAAGTTTGAGTTCAATTAGGCTTGCAGAATGACACTACATTTGCATCTCTTAGATGCTACACCAAAACCATAACCAAATTAGATTTATATACATTTATTTCTCTTTTGTGGTT